TCTGACAAGTTCAGGTTGTTCTGTACATTATTCCAGGAAGAGAGGGATTTTGAGAGTGCATGCACATGTACACAGATAAAGAGGAACCAGCCCAAGGAGAGATTTATATATAAAACCAACCAATGCGAGTGTCTGCAGATAGACAAAGGTGGCAGCAGCATACAGAGTGCAGTGGTGTACAAGTTTTCCACAGTCAGTAATAAAATGTAAAGTACATTTTTATTACTTACAATCCAGCTTCCATAAATTTGGATTTGTCTGCTTTTAACTTAATTTGAGTTAACAGTTAACAACATCAAAGGCAGACTGCAGGTATTCAAGAGTTTGTAGTACTAACTGGGATGAACAGTACATGATTGCATCATCTGCACAAAATGGAACGTAGCAATTGATACATCTGTATTTATTTTTTGTGAATAAAAAACGTTTTTTTCATTCAGTACAAAACACAATGCCTTATCATTGTTTGTGCATGTGTGTTGCAGTGTGTACATTCACCTGTGTGTGTCTTTGTGTGTGTATCTGTAACCAGATCTATAGTGGAGGAGCAAGTCCAAGGTGTGTCTCACTGGCCAAACAACTTCTTGGCTGCCTGGAAAATGTAACCCTATTTCAGTGTGTTTTTCTGCAGGTTAAGACAAGTGAGATAGTTTCACATTTCATTATAAGAGAAGATAACCTAAATTAAAAACCTCTGGGATGAATTTGTTGAAGTTTTTTGTTTATTGTAAATTTTAAATGAAATATCATAAAATGTACATCTTTCTGTAAGTGAAATTGGATGAATAGTTAGTCGGAGGAATCTGTGAATTAAAAATAGGGCATGAAATGAAAAAATGTATTAAAAAAACGTGTAAAACATTAATATCATAGAATTTAAAAAGTTAATATGTATGAAATAGAGTGGCTGATGGGGTGCAAGCATCTGAACAGACTGTGTAAAAAGTATGGCTTTATCAAGGGGTGTAGAAAATGCTCCCGTCCATTCCATATAGCAGTGGCTTTTTCAATTTAAAGCTGCTCTTATCAGTATTTTTATATTAACAATGGGTCAAATGGCTATGTGTAATGTAAAATGGCTTGCTAAAATGTCAAGCCAACAGATATTTCTTCTCCTACTCTGGTTCTCCTCAGCTCTATGGAGTATTTCAGCATCTTCATTAGCCATTGTTTCCAAGGCATTACTTTTTATGCAATGTATTTACAGGTAGACAACACAGGAGGAGAACAGGTGGACAACACAGGAGGTGAATACGTAGACAATACAAGAGAAGAACAGGTAGACAACACAAGAGGAGAACAGGCGGACAGGACAGGAGAAGAACAGGTTGGCAAGGAGAATAAGGTGGGCTGGTAGATGAGCAGCTGACATGTCATGTTTTTATTGTCCCCAACATGAAATATCCTGCCACGGTTATCCTTCCAAATTAAAAAGAATACAATACCTTCACCCCTAAATTATGTTATTTCACTCCAAACAAACATCTGTTACTACTGCCAAATACAGGAAAGACATCATGTCCTGCTTCCTCAATTGAAGGCTACTAGTAAAGTACCGAAACACACATGCAGGGGTTAAACATGATATTGAAGTGAATGAAACATTCTTCACCTTGAGAATGTGTATTTAAAGCCTAGTAGTAGTAGCTACATTGTTTTCATTAATCCTTAACTTGTGACTCACATATTTGTAACTACATGAAAAAAATAAAATCATTGAAAGCTCTAAAGCACAATGGCATAAGCCTTATTGTTAGTATAACAGTTGAAAGCTGTCAACACTTGATACAAAACTGACACATGTTAAATTAAACATATTGGTTTTCTTCAATATATAGGTTTAGTCCTTGCAATTGACTTAAGCATGACCCTGAACCAGTAACTGTTAACTTATGCAAAAATGCTTAAAATTTCTCTTATTTTTATTAATCTTCAGTGGCTCAGTGTAGAGCAGGTCCTTTATTTCCAGTTTCAATCACTCAGTGTACAGCAGCTCTTTCTTAACACCCCACTGACTTGATTTTTCTAATTAGCATAACTGTGCTACAGAGGTTAGCATCTACGGTTATTTTTTTTACGTTGATTTCAGGTGGAAGAAAGGGAATTTGTGAGCAAATGATGAGGAGGAGGAGGAGGAGAAAGAAAGCCGTCCTCCATGTTTGCGTTCACTGCAGCTCCCACTAGTGCAGAACTGTGATGACGGTCGCTCGTGACATCAATCAGAGTAGCATGAATTTTGACTGTCCCTACTGAGATGGCATTTTAAAAGTACAACCTGTAGTCACATATGAGGAAAAGAATCTGATTGGGGTGACTTTGGCCTGGCAGTTTGAACGCGGCCTTTGAATTGTTTTATACAATAGCTTTTGTTTATTGTGACAAGTTTTAATCCTGGAAACCATCACGCTGTGCTTGGCAGTTTGACTGGGTGACACAAGACAAAAGCATAATCCCACTCATTGCTCACATACTGTGACTCACAGCTGATTGTTAGAGATTATGTCAAAGGTCAAACAATAAACAAAATGTGATAGTAGTTTTATCTCTAAAGGAATACTCACTCTTATGCCTGTATGGTAAATATGAAGCTACCACAAGCAGATGGTTAGCTTAGCATAAAAAGTGGAGGAGGACATGGCTAGACCAGCTATGAAAAAAAATACTAGTGAGTAAATTAGGTACAAGCCACTCCCAACCTCTCTCTTTGTCTATTTGCTCTTGCTTCTGCTTGTTCTCACGATTAATGCCAAACAACGTCATATGCATGTGTATTCCTGTTTGTCCCTTCCCATCCTTGTCGAGATCTCTCATTCTTTCTTGCTTGCCAGGCATGTGCACTTTACCTCAACAAACCAAACTGACCCTGCCTCTCTTCATCCATTTATTTTAGCCTTGAACTTAACTTAGCTGGAATGCAGTTCAGTGGCTTCCAATGCAAACACATTCAGACTCAAAAATGAACAGAATCTCAGACTCCTATTTAGCTGATAAGGAGTTAAAATGTCAGACATGTAGCTTGGTGCTAAATACTGTACAAGACTTCAAATGAATTTAAAATAAAAACAATACAGGTAAAATTATTTTAGTTCATGTTTTTACTCAACCTGAAAAATTATCAGATTTGGATTAATCATATTTGGGCTGCTGGATGGTAATATCCTGTAGGTCTGAAGGCAATGGATGTATAACTGAATATGGAACATCAAAACCCCCTTCAGATATGCACCGCCTTACGTATATGTGATGGCAATCACATAAAAATGGTTTTATGGAAAAAGTCACAACAGAAATCTTGACAACATTTCCATAACATTTTCAAACACAGCACAAGGCTAAGTATGCCATGTCTAAAAGAAGATAAATATTCAGCCCTTTATAAGTTTTTGGGTCTCAGCACATTTTGAGGCTGTTAGCCAATGAAGGGAAGTCCAGCAGTCCCCTCCTTATTCTTGAAAGAAAGTGCCAACGTTGCTAACGTCCCAAAAACCATTGCTGCTTTTACACAACTCATCCAGAACACCGTTGTTGAGAAAAATACACCTGAGCCTTGTTTGGGATTATTTGGAGCTCAATAGCTTGAATACAGATTACTGTTCAATGTAGTGCTGCACAAGAAAACAATCATCAAATAGAAAAAAAAAACAACAACAACTGATGTTTGGAGGTAACTGAAACTAATGCGAAACCAGAATAAAAGCTATAATCAAATAAAATTTTAATATACCTGAACACAGACAGTGCTTTTATCTGAGTAGAGATTAAGTTACAGGATCTATGCCTTTATTTGTTAACTATGGCCATAGCGATTGGCATTGTTCTGCACTACTTTTATCCCATGTCAACACTGCATTAGTTGCTTCACAATCACTTTTTTGTGTACATGCAAACGGGTAAACACTTTGCTATTTATAGACACTCACACAAACTCTATATACATATGAGGGCACACACAAACAGATAAAAACTGCACACAGTAGCACACGCATACACACACGGACCAGAGGCCAGAGACATCCTCCTGCTGCCCAAAGTACCTGTGAAACTGGTATTTTTTACCACACGAATAGATGGATAGGTGGAGAGGGGGAAGCGCAAGCGAAAGAGCAGGTTGTGCATCTCATTCTAGAGGAAATCAGAAACCTGCACACACACACACACACACACACACACACACACACAATCAGTGTATTGTCAGGTGATGTGGCCCATGTCACACTCCAATGTGAACTGGCCACCGTCCGAAAGTCACGGGACATGCGGAAATGGACATGGAGGCCACAGAGGTTAGCGCCTACGGTTTTATTTTCACGTTGATTTCAGGTGGAAGAAAGGGTATTTGTAAGCAAATGATTACGAGGAGGAGAAAGAGAGCCGTCCTCCATGATTGCCTTCACTGCGGCTCCCACTAGTGCAGATTTATGAGGATGGTCGCTCGAGAGTGACTTCAGAGTAGCATGAATTCCAGTCTTAACGTCCTGACTGAGGTCGCATTTTAAAAAGAGCAAAATAATCTGATCTGGGTGACTTTGGCTTGCAGTCTAAATGCACCTTTAGTTTTTGTTTATTGTGACAAGTTTTAATCCCTGGAAACCATCACGCTGTGTTTGGCAGTTTGACTGGGTGACACATTCAAAGACAAAAGCATGATCCCATTCATAACTGACATTCTGTGACTCACAGCTGAATGACATTTGCCTTCACTCTATTATCCCATGTAAATGCTGCATTAGTTGCTTCACAATCACTTTTTTGTGTGCATGTAAACGGGTAAACATTTTGCAATCATAGACACACACACAAACACTATATACATATGGGGGCACACCCAAATAGGTAAGAACTGCACTCAGCATGCACACACGGACCAGAGATCAGAGACATCCTCCTGCTGCACCTGTCAAACTAGTAATTTTCAACACCAGAATGGATGGGTAGGTGGAGTGGAGGAGGCCTTTAAAGAGCAGATTAAAACAGGTTGTGCATCTCATTCTAGAGGAAATCTGAAACCCGCACACACACACACACACACACACACACACACGGTGTTTTGGACTATGGCTTCCAGCTCAGGTGATGTTCTGCCCACAGGCTGCAGGATCCTCACCTCCATTCCTGATGTGTTTTTCATCCCTGAGTTTGTAAGTTCTTTATCTGTTCATTGTCATTTTGCTATGTTTTGGGCTTTCGAAACATTTTCCTTTTTGTTACTTTTATTCTCTACATCTTTATGCAGTTTACCAAAGTGAGTCGTAGACTAAGATTTTAATCCTTTCTATTTTATTGCCTATTTCATTCTTGCACATTCTTCTGAATCATTGCTAATTCACTTGGCTCAGCGTCATTTACACTGTGATCTTCTTTCCTTGATTCTCTGTCTCCTTGTCGTTGCTCAGTTGAGGCGATAGGAATCTATAGGGTCTTGCTGGTCAGCAGGCATCAGTGTTTGATCATTGAAGTCAACACAGAGCAGAGTAACGAGCAAACCAACCGTGAAGATTAGAGGGGTTGATAGTAAAAGAGACTCTCTTGTAAAAGAGATTTTTGATCTCAACGAGACTTCCTGGTAAAAAAAAAAAAAGGTCTGGTCCAAAAGTATACAAGAATAAGATGAAACTGGTTTATGAGGTGGTTAGAGCCTCGCCCATTACGACAACTAATATCTACTTTTTAGCTACTCTTTTTAATCATGATTGTTGCCACAGAACTACAAGTTATGTCACAGCTTGGCAACCAATTTAGTTTATACTGACGTGACCTTTGTGGCAATGTTACAATATTTGAAATGGAACAATTTGCGCAATGTTTGACAAAGCCTATCCAGAGCCATTGTATTTTGCTATTTACAGCAGCTTGGAACAGGACTCTAAAGTTGTGAATAGTCACTCACCTTGGGCTAGATCTGACATTGCAGTTAGGCTGATATTCATGGCTGATCATGTTGGTTTATCAGATTACACGCATACCTTCTTCTTTAGGGGAAAACTGTCAACTTAGAGTTCCTTCAAAACTACTGAAACCTCCCATTTCTGGCTTATCTCTTACATCTGTTCTCAATATTTTATTAATGAATATAATACATAGTGCTCATATTAAAATTTTTCATTCAGAAACAATCATACTTTTTGTGGTGTACAGGGAACTGATGACACCAGTGGAAAATAGTGTTACGCTGGAGAGTGAGGTGTAACTCTAAAGACCTGGATATACTTGCTTTTAACTACGTGTTCGTGTACGCAAGATCGCTGCCACACATATTCTGGGTTCCTCTCGAGCGTAGGTTGTGCGCGTCTCCAGAAATTAACGGCATGCGTCCGCAAGATGCAAGCACATGAACGTGGGGGCAGTATGTCGATCTGACCAGCAGGTCAGCAGCCATCTACTGTTCCACACACCACCCCAAGTGGTGGCGGTATGCAGTTGGTTTGCTGCTATTAAACGCAAAAGAAGAAGGTCAGCAGCAGACTTAAAAAAGGAGATTTGTGGCGGGATGTTTAAAATAAAACTCCTGGAGCTAGTCCGCAGTTACTGAGATCGTTATGATGTCTCATTTAACTCATAACCTTCTTGAGGTTTGCTATGTTTGGTTTGTTTACATAGTGCAAATACGGAGGTTGTCAAGGAAGATAATCCGGTGTTGGCGAGGGATGATCCCGCCCTGGTCAGCCCCCTAGTGGATTCACGTTTAATTCACCAGGGACACGCAAAGTACGCAGGCAAATATGTGAACAATGCCGTTTGTGCTGCAGACGCCTGTCTATGTCTACGCATTGTTAAAGAGCAAGTATGTCGGGGGCTTAAATCAACCATCAACTCACATGGTTGCTGACTTGATGGTGTTTTTTCTTGCTGCGGGCCAATGAAATTAATGAATAAATGCAATTATCTGCTGCTCAGGTAATGTACTGGTAATACTGTATTTACTACTCTTCCGTAATTTTTTGGGCAGTGTTGCCACTGTAAATCTAAACCATCACAGAGAAGATACCAATTTAATACCAATTATTATTACCAAGGACAGGCTTGGCAGCTTTTTTCTACGGTTCGGGTTCATTTTCCTGAAATGAAACTGAATGAATGCAATTTCAAAAAAAGAAAGTAACCCGTAAGAAGACACAGATAAAAACTGTGGAATTGCTATTCCAAACCCTCTGCCACAACCACACAACACAAGCATTATCTTTTTGTGAAAATGTATTTAGCAGTTTATACTATGAGACCACCAACCAAGAGTCTTTTGTATTTTTAGAGCATGCAAGGACTATAAAATGCTTACCACCTGTAGGCATTGAAGGGGCTCTGAAAAACTAGCTCCTGGTTGGGGGACGGCATATGAATAGAGACATGTGTCCAACAAATTAAACATAAATCCATGACATCTTTTTAAGATTCACACACAACAACCATGTATGCCTTCAATGAATGTTCTTATCCCAGAAAGCTGTGGGGACAATGATGTTCTCTACAAGTGAACTTCACCTGAGAGCAGGAGTGGTTAAATTGTTGCTGCAGTTGTGTCTACAGAACCAAGCTACTTGTTTGGATCTGAATATGCCCCCTGCGGTATTTTCATAACCGGAGTTTTTCCTCCGTCCATATCTCCGTCCACATGAAAACGCAAACACACGCTATTAGCGTAAGCGCTGTCATGAGCATGCCAAACTACCTGGCTGCGATATGACCCTAACTGTAAAGCCATTTTGGCCAATCAGAGGCGCACAATCTGACATCAAACACAGCAGATAACGGCGCACACTCTGACGTCGTAAGGCAAATCCCCCGGTTTTACTGTCCACACGACGTTTCTGAAAGTCCTCACCCTGGCAGGGGTTTTCAGAAATGTTCGGTTTCAGTGACCTGATACTGCGTTTCCGTGTGGACGAACGGCTGAACTGTCTAAAACCATTATGAAAATACTCGTGTTCGTATAGACAGCAGCAACTGCTCCAGCTCTACCCCTGCACACCTGATACTTTAGGGCTTAATGCCGATTGATTGAACTGTGGAAACATCCGTGGATGTACGTTGCATGTAGCCCTTAAATACCCAACTGGAGGAAATCGAAGCTATAGGACACAATAGGATTTTTTACAGCAGGTATTTAAACTTGTCATAGTTGGAAAAGCACAGTTGGTACTAATAACATTTACAGTTTCTGCATAAAACATGCCAGTGAGCCAGCATGCACAATACCGGAAGACCGAGGCAGCTAAATGGAATTATGCCATAATTAATTGAGGTATTTACACCTATGATTTTTCTACTGTGCATTGGATTGTCTTCCATGAAAAAGGCCTATCACAACACAAAGAGAAAGTCTTACTGTGCAATAAAAATGAAAGAACGCTATAAGGAAATGGAATCCTTTACACTGTATTGACACTAAATACTTGACACTGAATAGTGGCTCTTATCAAGGAACAAATGCTGGCAGTTCATGTTCTATATAAATGCCAATGACTCTTTCAAGCAGAATGTTTGTCAAAGGAGGAGAGAGACTGTGAAAATACGCCCAAGAACGAAGCACGGGAGGAACTTTCTAACATCTAAAAATAGCCAATTGACTTGAAGACTACAAATTTAGGTTCTAACAGAAAACATTACTGGAGTACCACTTTAAAGCTGCTACAATCTAGTTCTAACAATTCAAATGACAACGTGAAAACAATCTGAAAACAATATGGAAATGGTCACTTATAATGACAACATGTCCCTCCAACCTAAACAACAACATAGGTCGTTTTAACCAACCTCCAAATACGACCCCTAGGAGCTTATCCAGCAATTAGTGCAATAGTGCCCGTACCGGTCGCGTTTGTCCATACCTTCCAAAACGGCAATTTCGAATTCTGTTTCCCGACCAGACCTACATTTTGGAAATCACGTGACCTCCATCACATGACATAAACATGTGGAGATTGTAGCGGCCTCATGGCCCATCTGCTAGCAGTAGTCGACATGCATGAAAACACCAACTTAGGCTTAGACACATTCCCCATGAAGGTTAGGATGAGGGTAAGGGCCTACAGGGGGCTGTCAATGCCTTAAAAGCAAACATAGTTAACTATATATCTAACGCTATGAAGCTATTGTAGATAATGCTATTTCTAATACGTGACCGTTGTTGTCATGTGTTTGCGTTCTACGGCCACTAGATGCCGCCAAAATAAACGGAAAGATTAGTCGTAATTTGTTGTAGCTAGAACAACCTATATGTTTTTTCTTCTGTGGAGGACAGGCTCAATAATGAACTTATAAAGAATTATCACCTGAATCTGCAGCTCCCCTCAGCTTTATGGAGTTTTATAGCCAGTTTCATCTCATCTCAGTGGAGCATTAAGCAACTACAGAATCAGACATTTCCTTCAGGAGAAAAACTGAGCTAAAAAGAGAATGAAATTTGGATTTCAAAGTTTTTTTATATAAGCAACTGTATGCAACCTGCTAACAAGTTCCTCATTTCAACTTAAAGGTGATGATATCTTAATTTTGTGTTTACATCTTGTTTCCACTACTCCCAAGAGGGCAAGAAGAAGTTACTGTAGCTTTAAAGCTGCAACACTATAATTCATAATAAAAGTTAGTTTTACTGTCATAAAGAACAAAACTCTGAAATGCTTGTAACAAACTGTAGACGTATGTACAATATGTAAAGGTTATATCCAAAATTAATTGAATTGTATTGTTACTATACAAGCAGCACGAGTACACCTCCAGTCTTCTAAGAAACAACTGGTGTCTTCATCTTGTTGTTTTCTTGTTTTACACTGAGACCATCATATGTATCTTTTTGACTATCCAGTCTGATGTTGTCTATCTAAATATCCTGTATTGAGGAAAAATGGGTCTAGTTACCATAGGAACTGGATCCATACAAGTACATGACAAACGCTGACCAAATTTATCATGAAACTATACACTAGCTACCAAAAACTAAATTTTAAATCCATACCTCTGTCTCTTTTGCCTCACTTCTCTCTCCCCCCTTCCTCCCGTGTGACCGTGCAGGTGTTTGGAGGTTTGGTGTGGACCCTGGTGGCATCGACTCGTATCACTCTGGCCAACCCTCTGGCCTGGGTGATGTTCGTGTCCGTCTTCTGCTTTGTAATGACGACAGCCTGGATCTTCATCTTCCTCTGCGGAGCCAATCGGAGCAGCATCTGGCTTGCCCTGGTTAGACACACCCACCACCTGCTGCTGATTGGCTAATTGGGATAAATGGCTAAGAGTAGATAGATAGATAGATAACACACATATGTGATTGTTTGGTCATCTCATTCCAAACCCACCTATCTCTCATTCCTTTTTGATCCCACAGGACGTGGGTTATCATTTTGTGGCGGTGCTTTTCTACCTCAGTGCGTCAGTGATTCTGGCGTTCATCACCATTGGGCAGGCTACATTGGTTAGGATTCTTACAAGCGATGATCTCTTCATCTACCGACTGGAAATTTCTGCAGTGGTATGTTAAAAACACATACACATACAGATCCTAGCTATTACTACACTTACATGTACTACAATATTCTGATATACTGTAACTCAATAAAGAAAACACTGTTAACAGCATTTTGTGGTTGTTCCATCTTAAATTAGGACTGTTAAGAGACAATGGGAAATTTACAAATTTTGTGATATTATCTTCTGCACAAAGTTACTACATAACTTACTTCACCCTGTGTTTTTTTTTTTGTCAGTATCATAAACATTATGTATAAGCTTGTTCCAGCTCTCTAGTCTATGTTTTTTGTTTCGTTGCTACATCATTCAACTGAATGGAAAATAATCGAGGTGCATCCTTTTGTCTAGTTGTATAATGTTATACATGTTTCTCCACAATTCAGCCTGACATATTTGAAAAATTTAAGATATCCTCTAGAATTCAAAATAAAGCGATGTGGGTCTGGCTGCACAGCAAACATTTTTAACGACTAAGAGGATTGAATACATAAACTCATCTTTCAGCTCTAATGCATATTGACCCTTCGCTAAGCCACGCCCCCCTTAGTTACTGTTGCTAAGTCAGACATATTGTCGGAGTTGTCAGACTTTTATCACGGCACTGCCACTGTCTAATACTGCACTCCCTGGAGAAATATTGTCTAATTTTTGGAAAAAGCAAACTCAGAAAGAAGCAGACAGTTTTGCATTTGCATTGTGCATTTGAAGATTATATTCAGGCTGTCAAACAGACTCAAACTGACACTGACACTGTTCGTGTACAGCCGGGTAGGTCTCTGTTGACTATTACAATAATTAAAAAGCAGAACAGTAGGGCTGTATACGTTACATTCAGTAGTAAGTTAGCTAGCATTAGCTTACTAACATTACATTAGGAACAATCCATAGCCTGCATTTTTCTATTTTAGGTTTTGGAAAGGGAAGAAATCATACTTCTCCTTTCAACCTTTCTGGGTAGTGACTGTAATTATTATAAGTGCCCCAGGAACAGCTTTGACCATAACTACTAAATACAGCCAAAGCTAGAAAACGACTCCTTTTACATTAGAGTGAATGGAGTGCAGTCATGAAAGTATCGGACCACAGTTCAGTCAGGACAACTTTCATCAAATACTGATAATGAAAAGTTATATTTGGCGGTATGGCTCTGTTCTGGGATCTCCCTGCCCATTCACACGCCTACGAGGAAAGCCATGGAGGGGGGGGGGGCACCTCCCTGCCCATCCATGTGCATACATGGAAAGCCCGAGGCAGAGAGCAGCAGTAAAGAACCCCAGTACAGAACAGAGCAGGCATGCAATTTACATGTTTATCAGATACTAGATGGGCAATGAAGCATGGTGTTAAACGAGCCTGGGGCTGAAGACCGTACTGTTTATTATCATGATGCAGCCTCTACTGCTCTGTGTCGCCTCGCGCACTCGAACACACACTTGCGGGCTCACAAGCACGAACAGTGGCAAGAGCAGAGATAGGTCGTGGGCACGTTGAAGTGATAAGGTAACTCCAACCCACTGCAGGATGTGCAACAAAACCTCAAGAGTAAAAGACAACTTGTCAATACATCCATTAAACAAGCATAACATATAGAAGGGGTTAATTGATCCACTCTGTCCACGTCTCTCATCCTCTATTTTATTAAAACACTAGCTTGGCAAAGCTAGATGTACAATGAGCTATATGAAAGCTGCCTGAAGTCTAGATTGAGCTTAGATTGCCATGTAGCTTCAGCTTGACTTTGTTGCCTGTCTGAACTAACGCTATACGTGATTTAGAGCAAGTTGTGATCAGCCAGCTGTGTATTCAGGGCATGGCTTAGCGAAGGGTCAATTGTACATGGATATTAAACATGCATCTCTGTTTGTCTTGTTTGAACCAATTTGCTGACACCTGTGGTCTCATAGCCCCCAGGATTTGTAACACCACATATTTCTATCTCAAGTTGACAATTACCTGTCTGTGTTTCTGTGTGTGTGTATGTTTTCAGGTGATGTCCTTTCTGGCCACTCTTTTCTACTTCCTCCATGCCATTTTCTCTGCCATCCGATGGAAGAGGTTCTAATAAAACAAAACATTAACCCACCCGCAAACCAAGAACAAGATCAAAAACAGAACAAACCAAATAACCAGCAGACCTTTTGTTTTCTTTTTTTCATTTTCACGTCAGCAAGAGTTTTCTTAATCAGAAAGGCAATCCTTGGGTTAGAGTAGATGAAAGTGAAATTAACCTTTTTACCAAAAATAAATTTGGTATAAAGAAGTAGATCTTGTAAATAACTAATTAAACCACAGACATTTATGATGACATCCAAAAAATTACTTTATTTACTTATTTATTTACTTTTTTATTTTTTATAGTTTTATAGTTATTTTTTTCACCAAATAACTGAAATGCCTTAAAGGGTCAGTTTAACCAAATTACTTAAAGCACTTTCTTACTTACCTCAGAACACACAGTTGTCTTAGGGACTAATTATGAGGTGTAAATTCCAATAAAAGTTGTTAAAGTATATCTATATCTACATCGTAAATTACCGGTAAACATCCAATTGGTTATATTGTAAGTTAAATACACGTTAAAGGTGGACTCTATTGATTGAGTATTGCACTTCTATAAAGTAAGGTGAATTGTGAGAGACAGATAAAAAGAACTGTCAAAACTGAAGCAGCAAAGGCTGAAATGTCCTGACTTTTAGTCCCCATAGTAAGCTGAGTCAAGCTTCAAAAATAACACTAGAGCCTACACTTCCCATAATGCAACTTGATAGCACCTTTCATTAGATCCCCCAGGCAAACTCCCACATATTTCAAACTCCGAGAACCACATGAGTAGGCTCATTTCAAATGTTTGCCTGGTTAATACAGAGACCAGGGGACTGATTTCAGTTTGTGTCCAACTTTAGCATTTGAAAGGGAAAGAAGATAATATAACTTACTTGTTTGCTGTTAAACTACAGAACACACCAGAGTGTTTTTGGGCTTAATGTCACTCAGCAGACAGTAATTAAAGTGTGATTGGTGACTTTATAATCTTTAAAAAGATGTTTTACAGATCAATGATTCATTTTGGCTCCACCCTGCAGTAACCATTTCTACAAATAAGATAAGCTTTTCACTAAAATTTGTGGAAGACATTCAATAGCAGAACTTAAGTGTTGGTATAGCACAGTACATTTAAATTGCTAATAAATCCTAGGAGCTTTGTAACATTCAAAACCTGTGTTTTAATCTAGAAACTTGATTGGAGGTCAGCCCTTTGTTTCCTGCAAGTTTCTCAATGTTTACAATTAACAAAAGACAAATTATGGATAAATGACTCTCCCTTTTGACCACCACATCTTTTTATCCAGTTTGAATCTAACTTTAGTGAACTTTTTTCTTTCTTTTTTTTTTAAGAATTGGTTTTGATACAATATGGATGGATGATTTATTGTCTGCATTTCTTAATTAAATTTAAAAAAATCAAGTAGCCTACTTACATATTTTGATGATTTCACTTTAAAGGTAGTTTTGGAATCTATGATGTGAAATAAATTACTAGGCCATTCAAACATCACAGCTTTTCTGTTTGTTCAGACATTTCACTACTACTTCCCACTGTTTCATTACCTGTTACTTGTTACCTATTCCCACTGTATTACTCCCATTACCTAGATAATAGGCATATCCAATTAACTTGTTATTTTAACCTGCTTATTATTTAGAAAGAAAGCATAAGCTAATGATTACTATAGGTTTCATCCTGTAAAAGGTTTAATATCATATCAATTTTATATTACAGTATGTATGATCTCTTTGAGCAAAAAGAATTAAACAGAAAAAATGCTGAATTTTAAGATACATATTATAACCACCATTTGTACTACTGTATGGTATTTGCATTTTATTTTAAATACACACTTAATTCAAGGGTTTTTTCTTTAGATTCTCCAGAAAATGCTTCAAAGCTTAACTTGGTTCTGAGTAGTTCCTGTAATTATAAAGCATTTGGCTACTAAAATCTGTCCCATTAAAATAGTAGCCAATAACTTCTAGTTTAAGTAAAAAATATATTAAAATCTACTGTATATGTATTTTGTGTTTGGGTTTTGCTGTATAGATTTGGCTTTCCGGAGATGATCACGGCCATTCTAGTTAATGTTTGCTCTTAAAGTCCACTGTTGGAGTGTGGGGTCAGTGTGTCAGTTGCCTGATTTGTTATGTTTGAGAAATGTTTAATTTTAAAGTTATGGCTAATATATTAGCAAACAGTTACTTATTTATAGTTGTTTATTTACACAAGATTATCATTCTTTGAGTCTTTAAATCCACCTGGCAAATTTAAGTCCAATATTTACGCTCTTTTTTACTCTGGTTTTGTTTTTTTCTGAATCTTTAGCAACTTAATGCTCCACTCTGTTCACCAGCTAATCACTAGCTTTGTTGTCCATTTTGTGCTGGGCAGGTAGTGTAGCGTGTTTATTTTAGCTTTTTTGCTGTGTGCTTTGGCTGCAGTGAATGAAAGCAGTAAAGTTGTGGCCGTAAAACCAAAACAACAAGCTGAAAGATGCTAAAACCCTCCAAAAGATGAGTGAAAGCGTTAGAGCAGGGTAATAATTCACTGTGCGTGTGTGACCACAAGTGACCCTTTAACATTACACACAGTGATCTACTGTAAACATACAAAAATGTATTAGTGCAGCTTTATAGTAAAGCTGTGTGGATCTGCGGAAGTTTCTGTGAGGCTGAAGTGGCCGAAATGAAATGCCTTCACCAATAACGCCATTCATCACATTCACAGGTATTTATGTTTTGAAAACAAACACCTGTTATAGCCCGTGTCCAATACAAATAGAGGCTGCAGGCACTTAGCTAACACAATACAAAGGATCAAATATGTAGTATAAACCTAAAACTCAGTGAGCAGCAGCATTGTAGATATTTAGGCTTCAGTGGTTTAACTGTAGCCATGGGGCACAAATTTCCTTCTCTGGTTGTTTTAAAATCCTTTCACAGGTCACTGGCACACATTAACATCAGGTAGCCTTGGGTGCTGTAAGATGAAGGGTGGTGCAAGGAGCTGCTGTGGGACGGTATCTCTTACTCACATCAACAGAACAAGTTTGTTTGCTGACTTAGGTTTCCTATAAGAGTCAGAAACACCTGCTCCTCTGTTAGTTCAGAAGAGGGGACAGTTTGCTCACTGGGAGAAGGAACAGGCAGAGATGGCTGCAACTACTGCTGAGCCTATGGGGAGCCTGCCCAGCGGACTGGGGATATGCACCACGGCCCCGGATATATTTTACCTGCCTGAACTGGTGAGTGGACAATGTGAGAAGACAAAGCAGTTCACCTTGAACTCAGTTATGAGTGATCAGTCTCTGAAATCCAGCAGTTGGTATTTTGAAAATAATTTGGTTTTCTTTATTTTTCCTAAACTTATTTGATTTGTAGTAGTAAGTAGTAAGTAGTAGAAGTAATTATAATACAATATAGACATTTAAAATATATAAATATTGCAACAAACTGTCATAAATTTCTTTCATGGCAACAACAAACCTGTTTTGTTAAAATTTAACACTTACTATTTAGAGGCTAATCGGTATTTTACACCAAAATGTAAGACATTTATTTAAATAAGTGTATAATAAGAATTCTTGTGCTATAGCTCAAGCCAGCATGATGTGATAACTTCATGACTTCAGATGTCAGATGCTAGTCTCTAAATAAATAGCCTACCACAATTGGTTTTACTTTTGTGCTGGTAAAAGGTAAAAATGTTGATTTAGAACTATTTGAATAAAAGTGCAAAAGTGTGTCATTCACATCTTCCATTTCACTCACATTGTATCTGTGCCACTAATAAAAAAGAAAGAATGCGGCCAGCTCTCCTTCTCTCTGAATGATGACAAAAGATAAAAACTTCTCATATAACCACTGGAAAAATAACTGAACTATGTAATTGTTTCAGTGTATGTGTCTGATAAGTAGACTTAAATGCATCTTAAGTTGTTTATTTTAGATTTTGTTTATCAAGGGAAGGGTTGTGGAAGGTTCCATGTCACTAACACCCTGCAACAACTCCTCACACATTTTAATGGCCAAAAGACTAAAGAGAGGCAACAAATATATATCCGCAAGACTTTTATCAATGTTTGTTCCGTTCACCATAATGTGCTGAAAAGTTCTGAATTGAGTTCTGAATCTGAACTGAATTGTGACAGATTTGGTATCAAATTGGATTGAACTGTGAAGTCTTTTGGATATTAACGTTTACAGATTTCTTGCAGCCACAGCCTCTTCAGGCTGTTTAACTGAATGCCTGACTTAAGAGCAACTTAAGAGTTTACTTTTATCAATTATCTCCTTTGATGGTTCAGTTCCTCCTGTTGGAGTAGGCTATATAGAAATGTGATCAAAAAACTGTCAAGCCTGTCAGATTGAGCACTGAAGAGAGAATACATTTTGAAAGTGACAACTCCATGAAATCATCAGTGAGTCAGTATCGCTGATCACCCTGCAGATACAGTACATTCTGGGTTTGAGGTGTGCAGCACTAAGACTTCTGATCTGTGACCTTGAATCAGGTATTACTCATGGTTAAATTGATGCAAAGAGATTTTAAGTTGTGGTCATCTCTGGATCAGGTGTTAACTTTTAGCTCATAGCTCTACCCGGTTGAGTATGACACAGAATAACACTATGGATTCCAGAGAGTTCAGACTATACGGATGTGGTTAATACTCTATCTTAAGTAACCTGGCAGAGTAAACAACATCCACCCTGTAAAGAGAAATGTTTGTTTAGTTAACATTAAGAGAGATCTTGGGAGACTCTGATCATGCTCATTTGAAATTCACCAACCGATTTTTCATGTGACTTTTTGACTTTTATGGCTCTAATCTAATTCAGATTTGTGTTTTTATAGTTTAGTTTGCTGATTCTTCCTGACCAGCTCATTCTATAGCTTGAAAAACTGCACCTGACTTTAGTCCTATAGCCACCAAAACTACTTTGCTGGGTTTAGGAAAACAGAAAGGCAGAAATCTTTTCTGCCAGAAAGCCCTGAAGGCAAACCCATGTGCGTGTCCATGTAATGTTTCACCAATAACACAGTTGACCTATGAAGTCAAAATAATGGTATTGAAAGATACCTGAACAGCAAAAGGAGCTGATACTCGGATAATTGTTTTTTCCAGTTTTCATGACAGAAAAAGGAACATTTTCTTCTTGCACACTAGCACACATCTGTATTCAACTGCACAGGCTTTCAACATTCTTCCTTATGTTGCGCTTTCCCTTTACCTACTTCTAATCTGTCAATTGTTGTATGTTGTTTGAATTGCACTGCCCTTGAGAAATGCTATCTCTATCTTGTGCCCAGAACAAGTAGATAGATGGTCAGACTGACTATAAAGGTGGTTTTAATAGACATATGAAAAAGTGATTACAGCCCATTTAGACTGAAAGAAAATATGTATGTCAGTCATAGGTATTTATGGGCAATTGAGGTACAAGGTACAAGGTAGGTTTGATGGTCACATTACAACAGTGTTGTAAAATGACTCGTTTCTGCTACATAGAAAACAATATACAGTATAGGTAAACAATAATAGAATGGTAAACAGAGGCAAAATATAAACTAGATTTCATGAGATCAATTTTAGTTAGAGTTTAGATGGCAGCAGGATGAACAGGCTGTGGCTGGGGTTCCTTAAATATCCTTTGGGCTCTGTGTGGGCACTTCACAGCACCAATATCAGTGAAACCAATGATTTTCTGAGCAGTTTTAATCACCTGCTGCAGAGCCCTCCTGTCCTGGGCCGTGCACATCCCATGCCAGATAGTGATCTTTCCAGTCAGGATGCTTTCTGTTGCTCCTCTGTAAAAGCTTGGCACGGGAATTTGGCCTTCTTATATTTCCTTAAGAAATACACCCATTTCTGGGCTTTCTTCACCAGCGTGGAGATGTAAGATGACCATGTCAGGTTCTGTGTTGATTCCCAGGAACCTAAAAATTGTTCACCTGCTCCACCTCAGCTCCACTGATGTGGACAGGAGGGTCTGTCGTCCCCTCCTTTATATAGGGTGGTTAAGGAGCAAAACCCAAGAGTATCACTACACATTTCGGCACTGCAAAAAATGTTCATCTTAGCAAGTCATGTCATTGGCAATTGATTGCAGGACTCAGTAACTTGCTGTTGTCACTGTCGTTAAGGGACAACGGAAAGGAGAGATTGAAGAAGAGAGAAAAATAGAGGAATTGAACAGAGGTTATAAAAAAAAGAGCATTATCTGGTAAAGAATTCCCAGTGATCTGTATAAAACTATAATTCAGTTTTTAATATTTTTGGTGTACCAGAGAAAAACAGAGAGTCCCACAGAATCACAAAATTTGTTTTGAGATTCTGATATTTTGCTTAGTACAGTTCGGTGTGATATACTTTTGTCTTATCGATATAATACAATCTATAATGGTATATTTTATAATTTACAAAAACATTCATGGTGCCCTGAAGATAAAATTTGCTGACTTTGGTGATCCCCTGACTTTTCATCTAGCGCCACCATGAGCCATTTGTGATTTTGAGTGAAATGGTCTCAACAACTATCAGATAGACTGGCATGAAATTTGCTTCAGACATAATGTCAGTTTAAGGTCACTCTATCAGAAATGTAATACCGTCTGTCCAACCAATACCTCCATCTATGCAGGTGTTTGGTGGTTTGGTGTGGATCCTGGTGGCGTCGACCCATGTGGCACCACCGAATCCTCTGGGCTGGGTGATGTTTGTCTCTGTCTTCTGCTTCGTCATGACCTTCCTCTGGATGATCATCTTTGCTGCTGGAGGTCATAAAAACAGCTCTGGCTGGGCTGCTGCTGTAAGACCAGAGAGAGAGAGAGAGAGAGAGAAACAGTTCAGAATGAGAGAAAGAATGAATGAAACAGGAAATAAAATTGTGATAAAAAATGATGGGCTGTGGCCATGTTGTAATATTTTTAATCTATGTGTTTCCAGGACTTTGCTTACCACGGACTTGCAGCGTTCTTCTACCTCAGTGCAGGAGTGGCTTTAGCAAACATCACCATTAATGAAAAACAATCAGACACATTTAAAAACTACCAGATTGACATCGCTGCTGTGGTGAGAACTTATTTCAAGACAGTACAAACAGCTGTTCATCTGTTCATTATTTACTGAAAAACACTTAAAAGTACCATATGTTAGCAGTTTACATATATTAAATCACTTTGTATTGCCAATGTGTGAATTGATTACAACTTCACAAATGAGACCTTACTCGACTTTCTCGGTTGTCTGTAACAGCCTGGGGACTGATTTTTAAGGACTTTTTCCGGAAAAATACAAAAGATATGACTTTACACGCGCATGTGGTGGCGTTTGGTCTGGCTGGTCAGTGCATTCTCATCCTGGGGAGTCAAGTACCACCGCTTTGACGCACAAGGTGCCCTTCAGTGTCAGTATTAGACACCCCGGGCTGTCAAGTATGTAAATCCAAAAGTAGAAGGGCCAGCAACACATGGAACCTTCCACATCCATCTTCAAGTGGTACTTTCCGCCCCAGTAGTATGTTCCGTCTGCCAAGTGCAGTTCACAAGATCATGGAGAGAAGTTACAAAAGGAGTGTTAATGCCTTTGTTTCCGTCCGTTGAACTAACCACACACATGTCTACCACAATTTGGAAATAAAGCAGTCTTAACTGGAAATTCTGGACTATTTTGTGACTTGACTCGTCACTTCAGTAGTGGGTGGTGATTTCCTGAACCCAAGTATTGTGAGAAGCCACAGTCAGCTCATCTCTTTCTTTCAAGAAGTTATTTAAAGTTTTAAGATTTATAAGTAATAATTTCAACCCAAACCATGATCTTTTCATAAACCTTACCAAGTAGTTTTGGTGCCTAAACTGCGACCTTTTCACAATGTTAACCAAATCATAAAAAGGCATTTCATATGGATGTGCATCAAACACAGATATTTCGTCATTCTGTACTTATGATGCCAGGATGAGAACGTGTTGGGCTGATCGGTGGTCGGAAGATGCTGTGAGCATTGATTATCTCAAGGTCCGCTGCATTTATTCTAATTCCTGCGCTTCCTTTTCCAACATTGAGGAGTAGCCTACATTTCTGTTATAGGCTGCCCCCCGATGCAAGATAGGGGCAGCCAAGTAGCAAACTGCAGACGTGGAAAGTATAATCAAGGCCACTCTGCTGGCTGTAGCTTCATGTTTATTGTACAAACATAAGAGTGTTATCGATCTTCTCATCTAACTCTCTGTGAGACAGCAAATACGTTCATTTCCCCATGGGCAAAAAAGTAAAATACAACACAATCAAACAAAAACAAATTCCAGACTGATTCTCAAAAAATGTAGAGTGGATTTCAGCTTGAAGCCTTTGATCTGTCTTTGTTTGTGTGTGTTCCTTAGGTGTTCGCCTACTTAGCCACACTCCTCTACTTCATCCATACCATCCTGTCCTCCATCCGATGGAAAAACTTCTGAAGAGTGATGTGTATCCAAGAAGTAGGCTACTGTGCATCCTGTGTGCCTCTGTGTGTGTGTGTGTATAATTCATAATGAAGATTTTAAGCCTCATATTTAATAATATTAAGTGAAGGTTGAGTTGGTGGAGAAGCGTCCTACAAAATTAAAGCATGAATAATTAAAGCAAATGAGTTGTATCCTAGAAATGTCAAATGTAAACATTTTTAGCCACTAATCATTTAACATAAAAATTATCATTATAGCATTAAATTAAATCTCATACTTTATGTTTCATTATAGTATCATCCATGTTGAGCCTTTAACAAACATTATATACTGGATTTATACCATAAACAAATAAAAATGTTTTTTATGTTGCAACATAATTACATGTGGGCCGATAGTTTTTTGAAAAATAACCCAAAACAACCAAATAAAAAAACAACATCAAAAAATTAAATGGTGAGCTGAGTTTATATTGTGTACAGAACATGTTAATATTGATGTAATCAGTGAGTTAGGAGGTTCCTGATGATTTAATGAAGGAGTGTACACTAGCACTGAAATGGAGCAGATGGAGATATGAGCAGAGAAAAAAAAAAGAAGTGTGTGGATAATATTCAAATATAACAGGTAATAGGTAGTTTGAGTGCTTAGTGACAATGCAGCGCTATGACGTTAAATGAATAGTTAAACATTTTGGACATATGTTTACTTGCAGAGTTAGATGATAAGATTGAATCTACACTAATGTTTGTCTCTTATAGGCTATAAGCTACTGCCATGATCCAGTTAGCTTAGCTTAGCACCAACACTGGAAACGGAGGGGAGAAACAGCTAATCTGCCAAGGTGTAGCCTACCTGCACATCTAAAGCTTCTGAATGAACATGTTATATTGTGTTTGTCTAATATATTCCAAAACAACAATGATGTCCTGGAGCTTTCACTTGATGCCTGGCAACCTAACGGGAAGTTACTGCTCCCTGCACAGAAACACTGCCACATTAAAACGCTAGTAATATATATAGGGATACAACATGTTAATTAATTAGCTTTAGAAGTCCTGATAGGTGGATTTCTGTTGCCTTTGGACAGAGCCAGTCTAGCGGTTTCCCCCTGCCTCCAGTCTTTATGCTAAGGTAAGCTAGCTGGCTACTGGCTGTAGCTTCATATTTAAAGGAAAGTTATGAGAGTGGTATCGATATTCTCATCTAACTCTTGGCAAGAAAACCCCAAATAAAAATAAAACATATTTTCACTTACTCCTAGTGTTATTTAGCAATGCAGATAGATTCAGATTTACATTCCTGGGCTTTCTATTTCTTTCTAAGTGTTCACAGTGAAATGTGTGGATAATTCACAGTAACCAAGAAATTGTTCCTAGCAAGATAAACTGCTCTTGGATTTTAAAAAAGCTCTGTTACAGCAGCAGAAACCTCGGAGATAGATATCTCAAAACCTTGTCAAATAAAATAAAATAATGTGCATTGGTAGCTAGATGAAAATATGTTTTTTATGATTTGGGTGAACTATAATAAACAGACTTTATTACATAGTGTGTTCTTAAATTCAAACAGTTGCCTCTTGCTGCCATCCGAGCCATATGCTTTCCCTTTGTGATCAGACTGACAGACGTTTGTTTCTCTACAGTAGCTATAAAGAGCCAACTGTAAAAAACTTCTCACTAATTTTCTGATTTTTACTGCAAATTATTTTTTCTTGTTTTTCTTTTATGTAGAATGATTGCCAACAAATCAACAGTACTTAAAGGATGGTGTACTGTATATTTTAGGTACAAGACATCTGACTCAAATATGTATAGTTTTGTCTTTTTGTTTTCAAGATTTAAACAATTATATATGTAAACATGACTGAGCCTTTGTTTTATTTGTTCCACTTCCTTTTACTTGCTCCAGTTTTCATACAATAGTAGAAAGTAGAGTTTTGGTTCAGGTGCTTAGATTGTTACAGGCTACCGCTGCAAGAACAGCTGCAACCTACAGAGGTGTTGCTGTTCTTGTGTAAGCCCAGTCACACATGTAATAGTAGGTAAATATTTATCACTTTCTTTTCAATATTTAAAGTTGATAAGCAGGATAAGAGTCCTGGAACTATTACAATGCCTACTTTCAGAAGTGGAGATACATTTTGGAAAACAAGTCAAGACACTGGTGAAGGAAAAACAATTGTGGGAGACAGTGTCGACCAAAGGGAGCAGAAGAAACATTTTTGAGACTTATTTTGAGAAATATTCAATGATTGCAGTTGTTACTCAAAACAAAACAGAACTGTTCTTATCCACAGTTATGTGCTTTACAAAAAATAAATCCTGTTTTCTTTGGTGATTGTCTTGACCTCTACTTCAAATCTACTAAATGGATTGATACAAAATGTGTGTATTTAGATCCTGCATTCAAAATCCAACTACAAAATGTTATATTTTGACATTATTGTTAATACTAATGCATCACTAGGGTGGTGATGGCACAGTAGATAAGACACATGACTGTGGGAAACTTGGGTTTGAGAACCACTGCGATACATCCATTGTGTTCCTGAACAAGACACATTACCCCTAGTTGCTCCAGAGGTGTGTGACCTAACCCTAACCCCCTAACCCAATTGTAAGTTGCTTTGGATAAATGACAAATTATTATTATTAATTATCACTGTCAGTGTGTGTCGAGGTGAAGTTAGTTTCACGGTTAGGTAGTATAATCTAGTGGTTCCTAACCGAGGGATTGGGTCCCTCCAAAAGGTCACAAGATAAATCTGAAGGGCCCTGAGATGATAATGTTAGAGAAAGGAAGAACAAACAAAGTTCTGATACAGTCTCATTCATCTTTTTGCCATGCTATACCTAGCTAACCTGTCATTAGCAGTTAGCAGCACACATTAGCTAAATTTTCCATAATTATGTACTTCAACATTCAGTTTTTAATTAAGATGTCTGTGAAGGTTCTCAGTCATCCAGGTCATAGTTATTCAAAGAAGGTTAAGTCAAGTCAAGGGCAACTGGACTTGGTTGAAGATACTAGGTCAGAGGTGCCTAATAGGCAGACCATGGTCCGGATCCAGCCGCCGTACTGTCCGGACCCGGACGTAAAGCCAATCTATTATTGAGAATTACTACCTCATGACGGAGCGTTTCTATTTTAACCCGCAGAGCTTTTCTAGTATTTACTGTACTTGTTTATCGGCCCAGGAAACTCACAGACTAACTGCATGTGTTCCAGTCGTCTCATTTGATGTTGCTCAGCCAATCAAATCTGTGCATTCCGATTCATTGCAAGTGAAGTCTGCAAGATTCATCAGAGATGTTTTGGAAATACACAGATTTGGATTTCACATGGCTTTTTTACCAAGAATGTACAGATTCTACATGTACATTCTTCCCACGGGCATTTCAAACCAGAATATCTCATATATCTTTAATCCTTCTTGGGGACCAGGAAGTATCAGCTGTAAAAGCCAGCTTCTCTGACTGGCAGGGAAATTAATTCTATGGCCCCTTTCTTCAGCAGAGAGTGGACTTCCTGTCCCAACATTTGGCTCTGTTCTCTTCTGTTCCCCTACTCGAGGTCTCAGGACCTCTTCCCCCGGGCCCGCCTGTCACACTCTGCCGGACAGCCATTCTTTGTGTTGCACTTTTTAGTTAGTATCTTCCTTATAGTATGTTGGGTTTTGGGGGTCTGTCTTGTCTGTCGTCTAGTGTTTGGTAACCCTTGTCATGTCTGTTACCCCAGTGATCCCTCTGCATGCAGTCTCCTGTTGTTGCTGTGAGGTCTCCTGTTGTTTGTCGTGTCTCCCGGTCGTGTTACTGTGCTTCCTTTGGATATCTGTTTGGACTACCTTTGTTTTTGGACTCTGTATTCAGCCACTCACCTGTAAGTGTGCTCTCTTTTTTGTTATATTAAAACCACTGAACCATACCTGCTCCGCTCTGTGTCCTGCGTTTGGGTCCTCCAACTTGCTCCACCCTGCCTTCACCACAAACGCGTGACAGAATGACCCGACCAAGTGTGGACCCAGCGGACCTAGCGTTTCTGGCAGAGGATATAAGGGAGTGGACGTCGACCTGCGAAAGGTTAGGTTCCTCAATCCTGGATTCCACGGACTTAAATCGCAGACTGTTTGTTTATGGCCTCATGGAGAAAACCCTGTGCAGCAAGCCAAGGCTGCTGAATCTCCCCTTCCTGACTGAGCCACCAGCCGGTTTCCCAGCCTGCGTCCCGATCAGTCAGGCTTAGCACCATCAGCCTGTCCAGCCACTCTCCAAGCCTGCCTTTTTCCCAGCCTGCTAGCACTGCAGCGGCTAGTCATCTGCCTGCTCCATCCCCCTCCAAGTCGGCTGCCTTTCTGTTGGACTTACCTTTGGAGCCAGAGAGTGAACAGATGGAGTGTCCCCAGCCAACCAACCACTGGTCGGAGGGAGACCGGTCTGCTAGCGGGCTGCTACACAGCTCCGGTTCTGGGCCTACTAGCCTGGAGGCTAGCACCTCGTTGAACTCTGCGTCGGATCCACCTCCAGTAAGGCCAGCTGGAGGACGACATAGGCCACGACGACGAGCGGCCAAGAGACTGGCACCTGCACCATCCCCGTCGGTGGACCGACCAACACCAGCTCCACTGGTGGTCCAGCCGATTCCTGTTCCTCGTGCTCCGTCGGTGGTCCGACCGGCACCTGCTTCGTTGGTGGCCCAGCCGACTTCTGTTCCCTCGTCGGTGGTCAGACCGACTCCAGCACCTCGTGTCTCGCCCGTGGTGCTCAGCCCAGCAGCTCAGTCCGTGGTCCTCAGCTGTGCTCTGCCACCGGAGATTCCAGGCTCCCTACGCTGGTCACGCCCGACCTTTGGTGAAGCCTCGCCTTCTTCGGCCTCTGGTAGGTCCCTTACGTCATCCGCAACCCCTGCTGAGACCTTTGGAGAGATCTCGCCTTCACCGCCGGCCCCCTGCCCGGCCTCCAGAGAGGTCTCGCCTTCGCCGACGGCGCCCTACCCGGCCTCCAGAGAGGTCTCGCCTTCGCCGCCGGCCCCCTGCCCGGCCTCCAGAGAGGTCTTGCCTTCGCCGCCGGCCTTCAGGGAGGGTTCGCCACCTTTGCTGGTCCCCCACTTGGCCTCCATTGGGTTTCCAGCCTCTTTGTTGGCCTTCCTGCCATCCCCCTGAACAGTCCGGCCTCCAGGGCCGTACTACTGGACGGCCACCTGAACTCTGTGGACCCTCAGGTCCTCCCGTCCAGTGGGGTCGTCCTCCCAGGCGACCTCCTGAACGTTGTTGCCTTCCTGTTCTGCCCGACCTGTTGGGTCGTCCTCCGGGACGGCCTCCTGAACTCTGTTCTCCCCCTGATTTGCCCAGCCTCATGGGTTATCCTCCAGGACGACCCCCTGAACTTTTGTTCTCCACTGGATGCCTCTGTCAGCCTCCTGAACTGCCTTGCCCTGCCTGTTTGACCTCCCCCCTGTACTCTGGTCCCCTTCTGTCTGCTCCTTGGACTGTGGGTTTTTTGTTTTTTCTGGCCCTCCTCCTGTCCTCCCTCCGCCCACCCTTGTTTGGCTCTTGCCCTCCTGGTGTGCTGTGTCGACCTCCAGGTCTGCCCCCTGAACTTTTGTTCATTTCTGGCCGCCTTGGTCGGCCTCCTGAACTGCCTTGCCCTGCCGGTAGTTGGCCCTTTGAGACTGTTTTGTTTTTCTGGCCCTCCGCCTGGCCTCCCTCCGCCCACCCTGGGCCGACTTGACCTGTTTGTTTTGTTTTGTTTGTGATGTTTCGTTTTAGGACGTCGGGGGCCGTCCTTTTGAGGGGGGGGGGGGGGGGGGGGACTGTCACACTCTAAAAACCGACCATGTGCACATCATAGGCTTCACCAAGGGGGTAAGCCAGAGATCGGACAGTGAAGCCGACCAAAGCCTGCATAGAGGGATCCTTGTAGGCCCAAAAATGACGTCAAACCCTGTGACACCCCGTCACACATGAGAGATGTAACCGTATTGCTTAGATTATAAACTCTCAGCAATCTAAAAAAACTATTCGGCCATCAGTGACGCTGCGTTGGTGTTTCACAGGTGAGCCTCGTAGGTGGGCTGATTAATCAGTGATGATCCGAGTCAGACAAACACACTGAGCCATGAAACTTCTTGTTGGTTGTCAGCTATCAGAATTATGGTGTTTCTGCTGTTATTCTACGTCATTAAACCACAGTTATGCTGCGCGATCATGCGCAGTAGACGCTGGTGCCAATAGGAAGTAGCCCTATAGTAGTATTTTATTGGTCCAAAACTGGCTTCACCATAGATATCGTCTCGGGTTACGTATGTAATGCCTGCTTCATAGTTTAAGCTAATGATGAGTGTGTACAGGTGTGCTTCATACTCCTCCGGTTATTCCGTCACACCTTACCGTTCTAGCAACAAGCCAATAGGATTGGAGTGATTTCATTCACATTCAGACCTGCTACGCCTAGAGGCGTTCCCATAGTGTCATAACCGACGCAGTGTCTCGTTCCCCTTCTCGGGGAACCATAAATCAGCGTGTGGCTTCGCCAATAAGGTTGTCCATTGAATTGCCCGATTAAAAATAAGATGTGGTGTCACACCAGAGGACATGGTTTTCAGTGACAAAATTTAGCAAGCTCCTACGCTTTTAGAAATGTATGGATGAAAGAAATGATTGCCATTTAATAAAATAGATACTTGTATCATTATGCCAGTTTTTCTCAGTTGTTTCCACAGCAACATTGGTAGCCTACTGAGAAACAGTGACCACAATCTGCAATTCATGTACCAACCCCAAGATTCAATTCTGCTAAAAACCAAGACCATTTCCTGCTTCACACTCAGAATGCGGTTCTAAACCACAGTGTGAAAAACACTGCATGCAGTTCTCTACACACATGAACACATTTTCCGGACACTGCATTTTAAAGATAGTTCTGTAAAAATTCTAATTACTTTACACATCTTCATTGTAAAGGGTGTAAACAAGGTTTTTCATGCTTGTTCAATGAACCATAAGCAATCACATGCACCTGTGCAATGGTCGTTAAGACCCTAACAGTATACAGACAGTAGGCAACGAAGGACACATTTATAAAAACAAAGAAAACTAAAGAGACCTTTCTACTGACAAGGTTGGGAGAATCCGATACAATTTCTAATTACTTGTTAAAAATGTAATCAGTAACGTAATCCAAGTACCAGAAAATAAAAGTAAAAACTGATTACTTTTAGTTACTTTTCGATTATTTCAATCACAAATACACAAATAAAGACTAGAGAGTATCAAAGATGTCTTGTCTGTTCACTGTATTTTCAGAGAAACATAATTATAAAATATCCCATTCCATGAAATGAAAATCGATATTTAAATGTTTTTATAATGATATGCCTTGCACTGGGCCTATAAGTCATATGGCAGGATCTGGCCCATCAATGACATAAATGTTGTTTTGTAGGTTTTCTTAATGACAACAGTGTGTCATTTCCTGGAAAACGATTTTAAAATGTTGATGAATCATCCTGCACTGGGGGGCCTGGATTAATTTAGTGTCCGGTGAAAAGCTTTCTTAAGCTGCTGAAAAATAATGTTTCTGGGACAGGCACCATGATTACTGTACAAAAGCACAACTTTATTCACTGATTTTACCGAAAATAGATCATATTTGATGGAAAATATTTTCTGGTTTTCTCTCTGATGTTCCCCGGCTGCGCTGCCTCAACTCTGATTTATGAGTTTCCTGATGGACACATAGCTTTGCTTGTTGCTGTAACAAGTCAGCTAACTGCTGCTAACTAGCGGCATTATCTAATTAGCTCAGTTAGCCTGCAACTACTGGTCAAATTAGCTTACTCTGCCCATAGTGGGAACTCAGAACACCGGAGTGTGGGTTTAGGTTTACACCTTTGCTCAAGCACTGGAGGTTTTCAGGCCAGGGGCAGGGGAACCTGGTGGGGAATGAATGCGGGGAGCAGAACCGGGCGAGTGAGCAACGAAACTGTGCCTCAACCTAATTCAACTACTGGCTACACCCCAATCAGTATCTGCAACACATCCCTCCCTAGCTTTGTGTCGTGAAACATACACGTAAACGACAAATAGAATTCCGTTTTCTGTTTAATGGAAACTTTCTGCTTAAAGTAATCCCTGTGAGTAATCCCAATTTTTACAAAATGTACCTGTAATCTTATTACGTCTTTATGTTTTGTACTGTAATGGAATTCACTGACTGTACCTTATTTTTGTATCCTTATTACGTAACGCCGTTACATGTAATCCGTTCCCCCGACCCTGTCTACTGACTCGAAGAAAGATGCGCAGGGTACCTGCTCATTTGTGTGAACGTGCCTTAGGCATGCTGCAGCAGTATAAATTGCAATATCTGTACTGTGAGCTGCCTAAGAAAGGACTGCAGAGAGACAGGAAGGACAGCTGATCATCCTGGCATGTAACAACACCTGCACCAGACCACAGAACCACACCAGATACTGACTGTTACTTTTGATTTTGATTTTGTAAAAATACATACACACAAAAAAATATTTGCGCATCATAGTACACATTTGTGGATTATTTTCTGTGGGTTACAAATATTAAAGTCCAATAAAATCTTCCATAAGAATAGTGGTAACTGAATGCATTTTGTGTGAAAGCAATGAAAACTGATTCACAGTTTGGGCCACATACACCAGAGTTTCGCTGCCTGTGTGAAGATTTTTGACAATGTGACATCAGTTTTGATATTAACTGCAATACACATTAAGTAGGCATAAAGGCCATTGATGTATTATTGAATATCGGACTTCAAAGCCCCTTTCAGACACACATTCCTTACAAATATGTTTTGGCTATTTTTCATGTTGGTTTCATGTCTAAATACGTTTTATGCAATTATTTCAGCATTTCAACTACAACTACAGTAGCTGGATCGGACCACACAGGCCAGTCTTTGCTCCCCACATGCATCAGTGAGCCTTGGCTGCTCATTACCCTGTTACCAGTTCACCACTTTCCTTCCTTGGACCACTTTTGATAGGTACTGACCACTGCAGACCGTTTTGGAGATGCTCTGACCCAGTCGTCCAGCCATCACAATTCGGCATATGTCAAAGTTGCTCAAATCCTTACACGTGCCCATTTTTCCTGCTTCTAACATATAAACTATGATAACACAATGTTCACTTGATGCCTAATATATCCAACCCACTGACAGGTGGTGCCATGGTAACAAGATCAGTGTTATTCACATCACCTGTCAATCATAATAATTTTATAGCTTTATGGTGCAGATTCCTGTTCAGTCTGGTGCTGCACAAGAAAGCTATCATCAAATAGAAACTTATGTACCAATCTGATGTTGAGAGGTAACTGAAATTATATATATATATATTCAATTCTAACATCCTGAACATAGACAGTGCTTTGATCTGAGTGGAGATTAAGTTACTGGATCTATGCATTTAATTGTACTCCTTTTATATCCTACATGAAAGATGCATTAGATGCTTTACATCACTTGTTTTGTGTGCATGTTAACAGGCATACAGGGTGGCTACTGTAGAGGAAAACACACAACCACTAAAAACCAGTGAGGGCACACACAAACTGATACAAATCGCACACAGAAGCACCCACACATACACATGCCGACCAGAGAAATCACACCTGCAGCAAAATTAAAAAGTGGAGGAGGTGTTGTGTGTGTGTGGGGGGATTAAAACTGTTTGCACATCTCAGTCTAACAGACAGTGTTTTACACTATGGCTTCTGTTGCTTCAGGTCATGCTCTGCCCAGTGGCTGCAGGATCTTCACTTCCATTCCTGATGTGTTTTTCATCCCTGAGTTTGTGAGTTTCTTATCTGTTCATTGTCATTTTGCTATATTTTGAGGTTTCTCTTTTCCTTTGGAGTTTTCCCTCTCTTTCCCTTTGAAACATTATCCCTTATTGTCCCTTTAATTCTCTTCATCTTTACTCTGCTTACTTAAGTGAGTCGTAGTCTAACATCTGATCCTTCTTCACATTATTTCCTAGCATTCCTAATTCACTTGGTTTAGCATCATTTAGATTATGATCTTGTCTCCTTGACTCTGTATGAGATAGGAATCGGTCTAGTCTTGTTATGTTGGTCAGTAGGCATCGGTGTTTTATCAGTGAAGTCAACACATAACAGAGTGACCAGCAAATCAGCTGAAAGATTTGAGTGATTGATAAGTAAGGTCTGGTTCAAAAGTTTACAAAAACTGGTTAGTGAGGAGGTTAGGGGCTCGCCCATTACAACAACTCTACTCTTCAGCTACTCTTTTTTAGTAAAGATTGCAGAATTACAAATTAGCTTACTCAGAAAGCTTGCCAAACAATTAAGTTTATACTGACATGACCTTTGTAGCAATGTAACAATATTTCAAATGGAAAAATACAGTAACAGTATAAGATGTTCAACAAAGACAAATCGAGAGACGTTTTTTCTTGACAGGATCTTTTTACATTTTACAGATGTTAAATCATCTGTTTTGTAATTCTAACAAAAAACACAAAAGTCAACATTTCTTGTGGCTGCCCCTAGTCTCACGGAGCTAAAAATTTCCTGTTTCATCACAATTTTTTTAATTATTTGATCAAAGCCATTTTGACCTAAGTCATTTAAAATAAGTTAAAAATAAGTTTAAAAAAAGTTGTATATATATATTTCTTTATATATATATATAATTATATAATTATATATATTGGTGCGGTGGTTAGTACTGTTGCCTCACAGCAAGAAGGTCGTGGGTTCAAACCCCGGTTGCCCCGGCCTTTCTTTGTGGAGTTTGCATGTTCTTCCCGTGTCTGCGTGGGTTATCTCCGGGTGCTCCGGCTTCCTCCGACCATCCAAAGACATGCAGTTTAGGTTAATTGGCGACCCTAAATTGTCCTTAGGTGTGAGTGGTTGTTCGTCTATGTGTGGCCCTGCAATGGACTGGCGACCTGTCCAGGGTGTACCCCGCCTTGCGCCCAATGTCTGCAGTATAATGCAGGATAAGCGGTTGACGATGGAGGAATTGAATATATACATTAATTGGTAAAAAAAATTAAGAATAATGTATTCTACTATGAAATAAGCATTCTCATATGCCCTACAGATGGAAAACACAAAAGCCACATGTTTTTTCATTAATACTATCAGTGCGTTTTTGCTGCTTCATGTACTTATTCAAAGACATTTTGTCAGTACTTTAATGATGCAAAAACTAAACTTTTAAAAGAGTTTGAAGAGTTTTGCAAGAATTGTTTGCTTTTGCAAGAAATATATAACGTTTTGTTTGGTGTATGGTTTTGTTGTTAAGTGTGTAGAGTTTTGCAACAGCCAATAATTTCAAACATTGTGCCTACGAAATCAGAGAAAAATGTAAAGCACAGCTGGTACTAATAATATTTACAATGGCTCTGTTCTATTTAAGTGTCTCCATTTATATAGGTATTTACACCTGAAATTTGTCTATAATGGACTGTGTGATGTTGTATTCCACAAAAAAGGCCTATCACAACACAAAGAGAAAGTCTAATTGTACAATAGTAATTAGACAAAATAAAAATGAACACTAAAAGGAAATGGCCCAAGAGTGTTAACCTTATTTTAAAGGGGCTCTCCACATAAAGCACAAGAGGGATTTTCCAACATCTGAAAACAGCCAACAGACTTGGAGACTACAAATTTAGGTTCTAACAGAAAGCGCTTCAGTTTTCAACAAATTTTTTATCTGCCTGGCCTGCAACTTTAGTAGTTCACTTTAGGCACTCTGATTGGGTCATTTCTGGGCAGAGAAAAAGCTGGATTAACTCACTGTTCACTACATGCAGAAACAGTTGTATTTACTCTGAACACACTGGAGCGTACTACAGAGTACTACAGAGTCAGATATTTCCTTTAGGAGAAAAACTGAGCTGATACCCCTAGTGGCCAATAAAATCAGTTAGTCTTTTATATTCATACAAGATCAAAACTCTGAAATACTTGAATGAATTGGACTTTATTGTTACTATACAAGAGGCATTAGTTTTACAGTGTTAAACAGTGTGTCCTTAATAAAATAAATAAAAATATCTACCTGATCGTAGATTAGGCTATACAAACTCTTGCACCTCTTGTCTGGTGTCTTCATTTTATTGTTGGCTTGTTGTCCACTGAGAGCATCATGTGTAGCTTTTTAACCATCCAGTCTGATGTTTTCTATCTGCGTTGAGGAAATATGGGTCTAGTTACCATAGGAACTGGATCCACATGAGTACATCACGAACGCCGACCAAATTTATCATGAAACTGTTCACTAGCTAACAAAAACTAAATTTTAAATCCATATCTCTGTCTCTTTTGCCTCACCTCTCTCTACTGCTTTCTCCCGTGTGACCGTGCAGCTGTTTGGAGGTTCGGTGGGGATCCTGGTGGCAATGAGTGGGCAGTCTTGGTACAGCCCCGTGGGCTGGGTGATGTTTGTGTCCGTCTTCTGCTTCGTAGTGACAACAGTCTGGTTCTTCATCTTCCTCGGAGGAGCCAATGAGAAAAGCATCTGGCTTTCACTGGTTAGACACACGCACCATCTGCTGTTTGGCTAATTTGAATAAATGGTTCACAGTGAACTGACAGACAGACAGACAGACAGATAGATAGATAGATAGATAGATAGATAGATAGATAGATAGATAGCCCTTGACACCATAGTAAAACCTGTTCTGCATGTAAATTGATGTAGAAATATGTTGCTAGGTAGTTGGTTACACATAATCTCAAAGTCATCTTCTCTGCACAGACGTTATTCAGTGAAATGTAAGAAATACCAAACATTTCAAAACATTAGGAAGTAAGGGTAAAGCCCCAAACCAAAAACAACTTTCTGGCTTTATACGTGACCATCGTTGTCATGTGTTTGTGTTGTATGGCCACAAGAGGTCGCAGCCACAATAAACATGAACAAGAGTCATAATTTTGTGAGGCTAAGGCAAGGATTATACTTTCCGCGTCCGCGAGGATCCGCGTGACGAAAAAAACGTCATCAGAGAGGTAACGGCCCTGGCACAGGGTCTGTGCGGATGTCCGCATGCCTCCCAATTTTTGAGATTAGCGCTACCAGGGCACCAACCAATTTACTGCGCATGTGTGGAACGTGTCTGCCAAGCTGACTGCAGACAGTAGTATAAGCAGAAGTACCCCGTGTCCGCGAGGTCCCCAGCTGTCCGTGTCCGCTCCCGAGTATATTCGAGGCTTTAGGCAAGGGTTATACTTTCCGCAAATGTTACCGACTGAATGGATCACATTCTGATAGCAAAAGGAGTCATTTCGCTCGGGTTACGACGGTCAAATATATTGATTCACTGTGTTACAGCTGCCGTTTTGGCAGCTAGTTACTTAAATGTTACTTCAAAGCGCGGAGTACTTCCGGTCGGCTCGGAGGCATTACGGGGCTACCCAGCCGACCAATCACAGAGCTTACGGCCCGCGTCGACTCAGCATGTAGTTACATTTTTGAGGAGGTGCACATCAGGCGACGTAACCTCTGCGTAGCCTCTGTGTAGTAGTATAAATTGCACTTTACGCGTGTGGACATCCGCGTGCCTCCCGTATTTTGTCACCGCGCAGACCGCGTCCGCTCCCGAGTATATTCGAGGCTTAAAAACAACCTACGTTTTTCTGTGGAGGACAGTCACCAACATGGTCTCAACCCAGGGTGTCAAATACCAACGCTTTGAGAAAGCCAGACAAAGCGTCGGTATCGGATGTTCTGCGATGAGACGGGGCTGGCCACATGGTGTGCTCAACTTTAATCTGTAACCTAAATATTAACTGATAGCGCTATTTGAAAGCCACACTATCAAGCTGTAGCTTCAGTCATTATTCTGCTTTAACAGAGTTGTGGGAATGCGTGTCTGCGGTAAAAAGTAAATAAATTAGCCTAGCAAAGTAGCGCGATGAATGTCTCCAAATGTAGCGGAGAAAAAGTAATGATTTTTCTCTTAAAAAACTACTCTAGTAAAAGTAAAGGTATGATGCATTAAAACTACTGACAAGTAAAATTTACTCAAAAAAGTTACTTGAGTACATGTAACGGAGTAACTGTAACTTGTTACTACCCAACTCTTGTGGATACATAGGTAAAACGTATTTCTGACCTCTGATTTTGTCCTCCCCCTGCTGCAGGATGTGGGATACCATTTTGTGGCGGCGCTTTTCTACCTCAGTGTGTTGGTGACTCTGGCGTTCATTGACACTGTGCTGGCTAGCTGGATTGAACATTCACACAGTGGAATTTTAATTCTCTACCGAATGGGAATTTCTGCAGCGGTATGTCAAAAACACACAGACACACACACACACACACGTGTAGATCCTATTTTTATACGTACATGTACTATAATATTCGGATATACTGTAACTAAATAAAGACACCACTGTTAACAGCATTTTGTGGTTGTTCCATCTTAAATTAGGTCTGTTAAGAGACAATGTGAAATTTACAAAGCTATTTAAAAGGTATAAAGTTTGTGATATTATCTTCTGTAAAAACCTATTTCCCAGTTTTTTCTTTTGTCAGTATCATATACATTCTGTATCAGCTTTTCCCAGCTCTCCACTCTGTTTTTACGTTGCTACATTCAATCAAATGAGAAATAATTGCTTCCTTTCATCTAGTTGTATAATGTTATACATGTTTCTCCACAAATCAGCCTGGCATATTTGGAAAATGTAAGATATCCTCTACAATTCAAAATAAAGCAATGTGGGTTTGAATAATGTTTCGCTGCACAGCAGACAGTTCAATGTACAAACTCATCTTGCAGCTGTACTGCAGTTTTGTGTGGATATTCAACATACATCTCTATTTGTCTTGTTTGAATCAATTTGCTGACACCTGTGGTCTCATGGCACCCAGGATTTGTGACACCTCTTCTGACCACATGTTGACAATCATCCATCTGTGTTTGTGTGTATGTGTTTTCAGGTGCTGTCCTTTATGGCCACTCTTTTCTACTTCTTCCATGCCATTTTCTCTGCCATCCGATGGAAGAGGTCCAAATAAAACAAAACATCAACCCAACCGCAAACCAAGAAGAAGAAGACCAAAAAGAGAACAAAGACCAAACTACCTGCAGGCCTGTAATTGAACTAAACACAAAATGACCTTTTCTTTTTGTGTGTTTTTCATGTCAGCAAGAGTAACTTTTGAATCAAAGTGCTAAAACATCAAATAAATGAATGAGTGGAAAAGTGGTTATTAATAATATATTAATGTTATTTGTTCATTGGTCTGGTTAGCGAGGTTGGTCTGCACATTTTTACCCCAAAAATGACTCTTTTCCTAATCAGAAAGACAGTTCTTCTGTCAGAATAGATGAAAGTGAAATGATGGTTTAATTAGTTATTTAGCATTACTATAACATTTATTTCTTGTAAACAGAAAAGAAATAAATGTTATAGTAATGCTAAATAACTAATTAAACCACAGACATTTATGATGACATCCTGTATTTTATCACAAAATGACAGGAAGGCCTTAAAGGGTCATTTTGCCAAAATTACAAAAATAACATATTTTCTTGCTTACCTATAGAACACACAGTTTTCATTGAGCTATTTTTGAGGTAGAAAGTTATTCCAGTAAAGGTTGTTCATAGCTTTTTCTGAATAATATCCACAATAACCAGAACAAAGTTGCTGCCTTTTAATTAAATCTTAATTAATTACTGGTAGACAATCCCCCCAATTTGTCAAATCCACTCATTTCATCCACCCGTGCCTCTCTAATACATAATCTGCACATAGGTATAGAATTCTGTCATACCTCTTTCTCTCTAGACTCAGACACACACCCAAGAAACTAATAATGTTTGCTTACTTTAATGGATCAAGAGCTGGTTCTCAGCCTCTTGGACAGCAATCTCTATGATGATCAGTCCATGGTCTCTGAATCTCCTTTGTCCATAGTTACAACCATTCCCACACGGCCAGCCATTCATCCATCATCCACGCGCCCCTTCTCATCCAGCTGTGTCATTGCCTCCCCTATACCCCATCCTCACGCCCCACCCATCAACAACTTGCCCATCCTTCCAACACTCAGTTCCATCATGCCTCAACCTCCTATGATCCCCAAACCCAAATGTTGACAAAGGCAAGGCCTGTAAAGTACTAAAGCGGCAGAAGGGTTTGCAATAATTTCAATGATTAGGTTGCAATGTACCAAGTTGCTGTTTCCTCCACACCTGTTCCCTTTGTGGCAGTGCCAACACCAGAAGCAGTTGCCGCCATAACCTCACAAAGCACGTAACCAGCTCACGCGTCATCAACCTCAACCATCTATCAGGCCACTGTGCCTGGTCGGCTTAATCTGACATTACCAGCACTTCCAAAGCATTGCCCACAAACCTGGATTTCTAGAGTTTTGCTTTTCGCCGTTTCTTGGAATGGTTCATATTACTTAACCTTCTGCCCCCCATTCGGGTGCAAGAGCAGCCCAAAGATATTTTATCCACTTGCTTTCAAGCCTCCCTCCCAACCAGAGAAACTCCATCATTATTTGTTGTACATTCCAAACTACCTCCTCTACCGCTGTACCAAGCAACAATTTCTTTCTCTCCTTGCCCCAACCTGATCCAGCCCCGGGTTCCTAGCCACTCCGGCCACCACAACCCAATAAACCCCTTTCATCCCTAACTTCTCAACCCCTTCATCCTATCCTTGAACCTTCTCACTAACCAAATAAACTACCTTTTGTACCTCATTTGGTGCAGTCTTAGTTAGTGGAAGTAAGGAGACAGATAAAAAAAAGATTTGTCAGAAGTGAAGTGGCAAAAGCTTAAATGTCCTGACTTTCATTGACTTTTATTTCCTCAAGCTTCAAAAATAATACTAGATCCTACACTTTCCATCTTCCTCCCCCCCGGAAAACTCCTACGTCTTTTAAACTCCACACACACGAGAAGGCCATACAGTCTATGGAGAAGGCTCATTTCAACTTGACGCCTGGCAATTACAGAGACCAGGTGACTTTGTCCAGCTTTAGCATCTGATAGGGAACAAGAAAATATAACTTGTTAGCTGTTAAACTACCGAACACACAGGAGCGTTTTGTATCTTAACATTACTCAGCAGACTTTAATTAAGGTGTCGTTGGCTTTTTATATACAGTCTATGGTCGTTGGTGACTTTATAATCTTTATAAAGATGTATTACGGATCAGAAATGCATTTTGGCTCCACCTTGCAGTCACCATTAATTGCAAGAGCGAGTAAAGTATTTCACTAAAAATTGTGGAAACAGTCAATAACAGTGTAACTTAGTGTTGATATAGCACATTTCATTGAAATTGCTAATAAATCCTAGGAACTTTGTACCATTCAAAACCTGTATGTTGTCAAATATTTAAAAGACTTGATTGGAGAGACAAATGCCTTTTGTTTCTTGCATGTTTTCTCCATGTTTACAATGAATGATATACAAATACAAATGGATAAATAACTCTCCCTCTTGACCACAACATCTTTTTAATCTGTTTCAATATAATAACTGTGATTTTTTTTTTCCTTCTTTGGTTTTGATACAATATGGATGGATGATTTATTGTGAGCATTTCTATGAAAAAATTAATTCTTTAAATATTTTGATGATTTGACTTTGACTACAGAGTTTTGGAATCTATAACGTGAAATAAATTAGTTGGCCATTCAAACATCCCGGCTGCTCTGTTTGTTCAGACTTTTCATTTCAGTGAGAGTCACTTAAGGCCCCATCCACACTACTCCGTTTTAGTTTACAAACGGAGAATTAAGCGTTTCCGCTGCGACTTGGAGTTGATCTCCGCTTACATTAAAACGACCGTTCAGGTGCACTGGGCATGCGCGTGCCAGTGTAAACAGGAAGCAGATGGTCTGTTCCATAGTTACAGAAGATCTGGCGAAAGAATAAATAAATACAGACTAAGCATCAGACCAGTTTTTTTTGTTGTTGTCAAATGGTGTTGTCAATAACGAGCTGGGACTGTTACTGAATGTAACACGGGAGTGTGGCATCAGAAAATAGACTGGGAGTTGTTGCAAAGTAAACGGCGACATGCACAGTACAAGTGTAAGCATTTGAGTGTTATTTGCACGGTACTACAGAATATGTCAAAAACCCGGTCAGCAGCACTGCATTTCTGCTTTGCAAGACCCAATCAGAGAGCTGAGCGTGAGCGGCAGCGTCATTGTTTCTAAAGTCCTCCGTTTTGGCCCGTCTTCACTAAAACGGCAAACTTCTCCGTTTTAGGTCTTCGTTCTCATCGTAGTCTGGATGGGAGGTGCAAACGTAGCAAAAGGTCTCCGTTTTAATTCGAAAACGTAGTAGTGTGGATGGGGCCTAATAGTGAAGACACTCAACCCATTCCCACAGTTTCACCATTACCTAGATAATGGGCAAATTAGTTTATTAGAATTAACTTTGTCATTTTCACATAATTATCATTTAGAAAGAAAGCATCAGCTAATGATTACTATAGGTTTTATACAGTAAAAGAGTTTGTCTCTCAATTTGATTTCATATTAAAAAAAGAATTTAATTGAAAAAATGCTGAATTTTCAGATATATTATAACCATAATTTGTACTATTGTATGGTATTTACATTTTATTTTCCAGTGTTTAAGTTTCAGTGTGTAATATTTGGGAGGATCTATTGACAGAAATGCAATGTAAAAAAACATAATGGACGGTTATGATTTTATTAACTTAGAATGAGCATTTCTATCTACATATATTGTTGGTCCTCTTACAGGGATGTTGCCATGTTGCGCCACCATGTTTCTACAGTAGTCCAAATGGACAAACGGCTCTACAGAGTGCATTTTGTCACTACGTTGAAGATGTTTGAAGAAGAACAACAACAAGAAATTTGAACAAATAGAGACCCAATCGTATTATTTAGCAGATCGTGTCGGCCACCTCTTCTCCTGTATGCTTGAGACAAGGGGGCGAGCGGTTACTGATGTTGCATTCATGGGGTGTCTGAATAATCAGAATCTTTTTTTTCCCTTAAATCTTTATTGCAAAAAGAGAAATAAAGTGTACATGGGGCATAAAGATGGAAAGATGTACGGTGAACTGATGTCTGCATGTTGTCTATATGCTCTGATAATGCTAATCCAACACATCTTTGTAGTAGCGTCCATGTTGATTCCACATTCCGACATAAGAGCACATGAACACACAATGAAGAAGGACTTCACAACTTGGGAAATGCACGTGAATGCACCATGAACCGCTGGTTGCTATTCGCAACACTCACCACTAGATGCCACTAAAACCTACACACTGAATGCACACTTACAGTTTTTCTCACTTGCTTTGGTACATTTCTCGAACCATCCCTAACATTTGCAAAACAGTAAGTGCATTTCTCGTAACATATCGAACAAACAGCACAACACTCTCAAAAGCAATCTTTATGTCATTGAACATGTCAGTGCCACCAGAATGGCAAGTCTTTGTGTCATTGTTTACGAGCAAGATAGTCTAAATGTTTAGTCATATTATCAATATAACAGTATTGTATAGTAACACTATAAGTGTTTTCTGATGTAAATTATGGCTAATGTTTTGATGACAATGATTGAAAATGCACAAGGATGCACTTTTTCAATATGACATAAAAATTTCAACAGTATAAAATTATACATTGTAGAAGAATGGAAAGGATTCACAGTTACGTTTTTACTGTTCATACTGTAATTTGTTGACAGACCATGTCATAATGATGATGCAGAAAAGAACAAGAAAGGACTGACTGGATAACACAACGGTAGAAATTACAAAATTAGTGTGAAACACTCCTTAGGCTGATGTTCCTGTCTGTCAGGTCACAGACTCTCATCCACATCACAACGGATATCTTCATCAATTACACTAAGGAGATATTTAAAAAAAACTGTATTTTTGTGGATATGATTTTACACATCACAAATTTAAAAATACATATTTGTAGATAGTGAAATATTTGCGCATCATAGTACACATTTGTGGATTGTTTTCTGTGGGTTACAAATATTAAAGTCCAATAAAATCTTCCATATTGGCTTCTTTTACCACAAATTGCAACATTCATAATCATTAACCTTGTAAAATTTCAGATGAGCTTCTTCTTCTTAATATATTTAATTTATGTACCTATTTCAGTATCTACCGCCGCCCAGAAAGTGCATGATCTGGGATGTTGATATAGCAGGTCTCTGTAAAGATGTGGGCACAACAGTCGGACTTCCTGTTGCTTGGTCTAACCGAGTCCCAATTTATGCAGACAGGATATTAGCCAGGAGCAGCCTATATGCTAGGCCAGCACGTCTCCTATCCTGGCTCCATTTCCTCTCCTCTGGGACAATCACAGGACCGGCCGTGGTGCCTGGTATGGTTGATCTGGCTGGGTGGATCCTCTCAAGGTCAGCTGCTCTTTTTGATTACATTTCTATCATAGGTAATACCCGTTTTAGCAATAAAGCCAAACATCTGCTCCATAGTTAAGTGTGGTAGATCTTCTCATCTAATTATGTGGAACTATTCCTTTAAAAACACAGACACAAACAGAGAATGCCTCAACTACTGGAAAAAGCTAGTTTGTTCTTGATTACCAGTCTGGTTCCCCCTACAATTAGACTAAAACCCTATTTAAAACAAATAAGGTGCAAACCATGTTAGAAAACACACAGTTCTATCAGATCCCGAGTCCCCTAGAAAATCTTAATTTCAGTAATTGAGCTCTTTGTTTGTCTAGACAATCAGTAGCTTAGCGTGAAAGACATCTAGTCCAGAAAAATCACTTTTTATAAATAAAGCTCTGTTATTTTGATGATCAAACTGGTAATCTTTCTGTTATGGAGGACGAGTACATAACAAGACATTATTTAATGCATCTGAGACAGAAAGGTACATATCACGTTTTTACATATCCATACTTTATTCCATTAGTACAATTTCATGTGGATAGGGAACTAGAATAATCTTTTACAGTTATAAAGGAAACATTGATATCTTGGGAGTTAATATTTTGCTGAGCGTCAATTCTGGGTGTGTCCGGAGAATTATGTTTTCAGATGAGATGCCTTCAGTTTGAGAAACATGTAATTTAGTCCTCAGTTGACATAACAATCACAATCCACTAGATTTGATAGATAATTAACAAAAACTGATATTCTGCTTGAGAAAAAAATGTTCTTCTTCCACAGATATTTTTTAGCTTTTCTGGACAAAGCCAAAAGTCCGACCCTCAATCTGACACTTGTGGCCTCTATCAGTCCAATCATCTGTCTTGTGGTTCATCTCCCACTCCCACACTACCAGATGGTACGCTTGACACCCGCCCAGATCGAGCGTTTGGTTCCCTGTGCGGCTCGTACGTCGTCCCAGTGCAGACGGGTGTTGGGGATCTCGTCCTCAGGCTCCGGGTTGGGTCGTGCCCCGTCTTTAGGACTCGCAACCACCATGGGCAGCGGCCCTCGCTGCGACTGAAACTCGACGACGTGGAGCTGCTTCTTGTCCGCCAGCTTCTGGTGGGTTTCCTGCAGAGTGGAAGAAGAGGAGAGATGTTATGGAGACTCCAAACTCAGCAGGTCCTAACTTCTCTTTTATTGTGTGGTGCTTTTTCAAGTAGCAATAAAAACAAATTCCTGAAAACTCCCACATTCCTTCCCACTATCACAACATGACCTCACCTGATTGGCTAATCCTGTGAAGAGGGCCCTGGTGATGTTGAGGAGATTGACTGATCCTTCTACTTTGCAGTACATGTCCTGTATGCCGATCAGCCTGCAAAGAGTGATGACCGCCCGGTGGCAGTGAAGACCATAACCTGCAGAGACAGAGAATCAAGCACAAACATGCACACATTGATATCATTGATTTTGGTGAACAATGCTAAGTTTTCTATTATGGTATGTGTACATTTTTTAATATTGACATCCAGTGTAATATAGTAATTTCTCTATAATTTTTTCACACACACAACCACAGAAAAAAAAATCCATTGAAACAAAGCACTATATTCTATCATTGTAGTATTTATCATGGTAAAACCAGTTTCCCCTCAACACCAAACTTAACCAATATTCTACCAACAAAATACTTAGCAATTCAAGACGCACCTTCGTTTTGTTTCTTCATGCGGAGCGTTGTCCTCTTGAATTTGGATTCAATGTCATGATAAACTGTTGGGAGAGGAAAGACAACGACAATTGAATTACACAATTACGCACGCTGGACATCTACCAGGGGAAAGGGAGAGAACAAAACAGCCAAACTGGTACATAATAAACAGGACAAAAATTCTAATTATTTTCGCGTGTATTGTGCCAGTGAAGGCACTTGTGTTTTGTTATGCATCTTTTCTCCTGTTCTCCCTCAGGTCTTGTGTTTCTCTACCTGCCCACCAGATGTCCTTCCACTTGCCAGCGCCTCCTGCTCACTGCAGCAGCTGTGGCTAATAAGTTATTCAGAAACACAGTCCCTGAATGGGAGCTGTGTGCTGCTAAATTAATCCTGAGAAAGCCCCACAGCTTGAGGTTAAAATCTTGCTCTTGTGCAACTCTTAAAAACACCTCACTGACTGCCGTCCCTGCGTCCTCTAGACATCCAGTTGGAATTTAATACCCCTAATGAAGTACGTTTTGCACTTGGATGCTGTGACAATAATAGAGGAAGGAGTTATGGGAGGAATAAAAGGAGAGGACGGAAGAGAAGCAGTAAAAGCAGTAGAACATTTGGTGCTAAGAAGACATCCCGCTGGGTGAAGAAATCTAAAATGCAAACCTAAATGTCAAATACACACACATGCATACCACAGAGGGAGCTGAGCATTTGCTGTGGCTGCAGGAGGTCCAGGTTCATTTAGAAGAGTGTGTATGACTCACAGATCTAAACAGCGACAAACTCAAAGCAGACAAAAACACATTCTTCCCTGGCACATATATTTCAGATATTAGGATTTTTTTTTCAATCAAGAACTCCAATCTAAAAGTCAACCCTGACTTTGAAGCCAAAACAAAAAGAACTGACAATGGTTTGTTTGGTTGTTCAGTCCAAAAGGTTGGAAATGCCCAAAACAAAAACAACCAAACTCGCTGCCACATTCAAATTTATTCTAATTCTGTTTGGCTTTGGATTGTTCAATTATTTCTACTGATCACCACTGTAGCCACATGAATATTCACCTGGTCCTGAGAGAGTGTGAATACTAGTGCCCAGAACAACAAGTGGAAAGTCGGGGGAGCTAAAACATCTGTCAGATCTTACCAATTCTCCAACTTACAAACCTCCCTTATGTTTTCCTTTTAAAAAAAAGATCAGGTTTGTTTTCCCATCAAAACATGTTTAGTGGCCAACTCGGAGCTGTCCAGATGTTGGACTTTCCGACCCAACACATTGAAACAGCATAACAATTACGACAACTGTTAATCTTCTGATGGAAGACATCCCAGATCTGGACTGCCACCAAAACCCGAGTGATTACCGGCCTGCAGGTAATCTGGTCCCTGGATTCAGTGACGGCTGATGCATTCACAACATTGACCGTGTTAGAAACAAACAGCTGGGTTAAAAAAATCTTTTCCCAATAAAGGCGACAATGGCTTCGGTGAGTGCCCCCTGAAAGGTGACAGAGGAATGATGACAAAATGACTTTGATGCTGTCTGATCTGTCATTAAATTTAATGTTATGTTACAAACTAAACAAACAACCAATCACATAACGGTCCAGACAGGTTGCAGATGGTCGCACGGTGACAGCTGGCTTCAAGGCTCAAACTGGGTGGAAATATAGGATTGCACAGACACTTTGTGTCTGGTCTGGGGCCAAAGCAGGAAGCTAACTTTCTTCTCCGGTGGGCGCAGTGGAGAGTTGATGACTCATACACATTAATCTTTCTGGCTTTGCTCTCCTGCAGCAGCAGCAGCAGCCAAATGGCATTTTACAATAATAAAGTACAAGCAATGCATTTTAACTCTGATACCTTTCACAAATCTTTTTTTGTCACTTGTAGAGTACAAGCAGGTGATATAAGCAGACAGTGGTAGACAAGAGGGGAGAGGAAAGAGGAATCGGGAGAAAGAGCCCCCGTAGTGGATGAGATTAAGGAGGAAGAAGGGGAAAATAAGAAAAGAGTAGGGGCAGTATGACTAAAAGAGAAGGGAAGTTAAGTCCCATTAATTTTGAATTTTTCCTTTGGACGTTGTTATGCGATTCACAGTTGGAGCACTTCTATAGCTTGGATCAGCATAAAACCAGTTGAATCATGAGAACAAAAGGTCATCAACTGCATACAAAATCAACGAGCTTAAAATTGTATTACTTACGCTGCTGACGTGAAAGCTAAAGATTATGATGTTGAGAAAATTATTAACGCGGTCTACAGCGTAAATCAATTACTAGAGTTGAGCCGGATACTCGGCTAAAATGAGTATCCGGTACGGATAAAGCACTTTTGCCGAGTACAAGTATTATACGAGTAATACGAGTCAATATCTGTGCTCGGATTGAATAAAAATCCTCATTGGGTAGCTGACTGTGTCCGTGTTCTGTGATAGGCTAGTCACAGCGCCCCTCCCCTACACACATACAGATTTATTGTGTTGCTGTGTCCCGCTCTGCTCACAAACGAGGATTAAACTTTAACACTTCAGAAATACGACAGTAGCATGCCCGCATCTGACACATGCAGGGAGACAGAAAGTCGTTGACAGTGTGAATGTCTAAATGAACAGGCTTAGTCTATAATAATGCGTTGATAAAAAGTGTTCTCATGAGCTGTATAAAAATTATCAGCCTTATTCTTTCAGCTCGGCTGTGTGTCGGCGTTTCCACATTAAAAGACTCGGGCCGTTCTCCCTCACTTTAAAAAAAAAAAAACTTGTCGCCACTTCAAAAATGAGATTAATTTATTTAACACACTCAAAAGTGTTCCAAACATTGTTCTAAATTAACTTCATAAAGCAATGAAATGAAAACTCATTCATTGCCATAAAATGTGCTCACCATCCCACCCACATCGCAAAAGGTGGGATGGAACATGAACACAGTCTCTATAGTAGGCCTTAGAAAGCTATACTAACCTAAACAGATAGCCTATGTTCATATTAAAATTCAGTATTTCAATATCCCTACCAAACTGCTCATAAACCCATTTATTTTAACGGCTGCATCAGGGTGTATGAAACGGACTGGGAGCAAATAAAAAATATTAAACACATTTAAAGGAAGTAAGTAGGGCTGATCCTGCTGTACTGTAAAAACCTTTTTAAAAGGCTTTTAATCAGTCTCTGTAGGATCGCCATAGTCAAGAGTTTCTCCACATCACCGCTGCAAACATATACATTCCGGGTTAGGTTATTTTTAAGTGTCTGTGAAAGACGCAAAAATCGCCATTTGTAGACACTGTCCCGCTGAATTGTCTCCTAGCACATCCACTCCATCTGTGGCTGACTTCTTACAAAACAAACGGTCTGACCCGCTTTTAGTGTTTCTGTCACTCGTTTATGAGAAGGCAATTAATCTAGCCACACCTACATTTGGAGTGCACACGTACTCAAGCCTTTATGTTAAATCCACCGAAATGGACCAGTGCGAGCTGACAGGCAGGTTGGCAACTTCATCCTGTCATTTTCTCTCTTTACAAGGACAAGTGTTTCAGGTGGAGAGTCCTACCTGAAGAGAGGCTATGAAGTCTTCATGTTACACGATACGAGAACCACATACAACATTTATCATATTGGGTCGGACTTTATGAATTTAGAGCGAGGATACACATGTGACAACGTCCGGTTTTCACAATAAGGTGTCTATACAGTATGGAAATAAGATTAATTGGATTATATTCAAAGATAGCATAAAACATTACATGTGTCCATTAAAAGTAACCGGACACATGTAATTTCCTTTATCGGACCCTCTCGGGCCTCGGACCCACCCACCATAGTCTCTCCAAATCCTGTGGGAAACACTGAGTAAAAAGCACATTTTGACTATTCAATCTATGCAACAGTAAAAAGAAAGGCAAAATAAATGGAAAAAATTTGAAACACCTTGTTTGGTATTCAGTGTTCAGGAAAGTATTTCATTATATTCGGTTTTCGGAATTTTCATTTCGGTGCATTCCTACAATAAACTTTTGGATTCTGGGTCAAATTTGGATACATACAAGAACTATGGTGCTGTTTTTGTACACAAATTGCGAAAAAGAAGAGTTTTGAATTAGCTAATGCTCTGATTCACCTCTCAGACTAGCATTTTCTTTATAGCCACGCAGCCGGACTCATACATATTGATGCATTTAGAGCTGTAAATTTCCAAACTGATGGACAAAACATATCAGAAACTATGTTGTTAAAAGAAGGCAGTGAAACACTTCGAGTGGCTCAAGGGCGGTGAAAACATGAAAAGGAAGGATGTGAATGAACAGAGGAGGAGGAGGATGGGGAAGGTTTAGGAGGAAAAGTGAATGACGGACATACACAATCACTTACTGGTGTGGTTGTTGTATCGTTCTATATAGTACAAGTAGTGGATAGCTCTGTTCTTGGCCTGCAGATCACAGTTAAAGGCAGAAACAAAAACACAGTGTCATTTGTTGATGGAAAGTTTGAATTATGTTACTATATTAGCAGAACACTCTACAGGGACTCTAACATGGAAAGGGTCTGGGGATTTGTCACTAAGCGCCCCAGGTTAAGTAGATTTTATGACGTCTCTAATGTACCAGGATTGAATCAGACACAGGGTAATACACAAAATGTATTACAAAAATTTGATGGGAGCAAATATCAGTTAATTAGGCCACATAGCAATTCAGTTGTTTTTGTGTTGATCTTTGGATTGTATGCATAAAATGAGGGCCAACAAATTGTAATGTGGTAGGGCTGACGCCGAATAGTCTAAGATTCGATGCTTCGATGAGCGGAGTCTGATTCGACTGCCAATCTCACAGTCGAAGCTTCGCAGTGAAACAAGGATCATGCCATTTTGTATATGGGGTGCTCAATGTCTGATTTTACATCACTGCAAAAACTAAAATCTTAGTAAGATTTATTATCTTAATTGAAGGCAAAATATCTTGCATATTTTAATTAATATTATATATAATATTTTCTTGTTTTTGAGAGCTCAGTTTTTGCAGTGTTGTAACATGTAAAAAGATACGACAAAACACTACACAAGACATTACAAAAGCCACAAACTGGGGGATATTAACACAAAAACTGACTTAATGATTATTTTATTTAGAATGAGAAGTCGTACCTTCCTCAGAGCTGTGTTTCTGTCTGCTGCTTTACCCAACGCAAAACCTGGTGGAGGGAGGGAGAGTCAGTTTTAAAACACCTCTGGGAGTAAAATGAATAACACTGTAAGGTCACACTGGCAGAGGAGCTCAGTGTGTCAGAAAAGAGATTAAGTTGAAGAAAAGTTCATGGTATTGTTTGTTGCTGAGGCTGAAGGCAGGTGAATCTCAGGAGTTTCCTCAGCAGTTTTATTTTATTTTGCCGCGCACTTCTGAAGAGCTAAAAAACTGTCAAAACCATTTCCTGCATTCCCCATCTATAGACGCTGAAGGGTTTCTAAGATATTTTTCAACTTTTGTAAAAAACATTCAAACAGTCAAAATCATTTCTGGATCTGTTCCATGTTTTTAGAACTCAAAGTTTTATATATAATTTTAAAGTTGTTCCCAGAGTCATAATCTATGCTTAATTATCAGTGTCAAACCTGCAGCTCCGTTGCCATTTCCAACGGCGACCAGACAGCTAATGGACCTCTTCCTGCCCTCCTTGGCGGTCATGTTGAACACACTCTTCACCTGTAAAATGACATTAAACAAAAATAAACAACAACGAACCTCTACAGGCCGCTTTCAGCTCTGCTTCGCCATCATGTTAAACCTACTTAAGGTAGAAGAAGGAGGATGAAATTACCTTTACATCCTGGCAACAATTAATAAATCAAATGCTCTGACAAACATTAAAAAAAATCTGGTATCTGTCAAAGTCACAGGACGGCCTGAAATGATTGGCTGGCCTATCTGCCTCTCTACCTCCCTGCTCTCTCTGTCTGTGCACTGTCTGCACATTAAATTGTGTTCTGGGGAGACTTGAGGGAAGGGGTGTTTTGTCTCTTATTTGTTGTCCAACGTTGCCAACCACAGCTTTAATACAACTATATGTGGCTCATAATGTAGATAACATGTTATAATCATTAAATATTCTTGTACAGCAAACCTTTCAAAATGTCCAGTGTCTTGTGTCAGTGCTCATCAGGCCAATAGTTATTAAACTGACAAAAAGAAGTGTGTGTGTGTGTGTGAAAACATCTGCAGATTTAACACTACAGATAGATAGATCCATACTTTATTTATCCCAAGGGAAATTCAAGTATCCAGCAGCATATGAAACATACATACGTTAAACATACATTAAACCTATATTAAAATAGAAAATTATTAAATTTAATAAATTATTAAAGAATTAAAATAACTTATAACACAGTAAAACAGTGCAAAAACAGTAAACAGTGCAAAATGGAGTGCAGATGGAGGTAGAAATTGTTATTTTGTCTTGGCTTTGTCTTTGACTAGGAGCTGTTGTACAGTCTGATGGCCAGGGGGACAAAAGAGTTTTTAAGTCTGTTGGTGGAGCTGGGCTGGGACAGCTGAACACACTCCTCTGGTTGATGAAGGTGTTGTGCAGAGGGTGGTTGGTGTTGTCCAGTATGGACAGCTCTGAGCCCACCACTGAGCCAGCTCTCCTCACCAGTCTGTCCAGTCGACCGGCATCTCTCTTCTTGCTGCTTCCTCCCCAGCAAACTACAGCATAAAAGAGGACGCTGGCCACCACAGACTGGTAAAACATCTGCAGCAGTTTTTTGCAGAAGTTTAAGGACCCCAGTCTTCTCAGGAAGTACAGAGGGCTCTGCCCTTTCCTGTGGAGAGTGTCCATATTTTCTGTCCAGTCCAGCTTGTCATCCAGATGCAGCCCCAGATATCTGTAAGTCCTGACCAACTCCACATCGACCCCCTCGACGGACAAAGGTTGGAGATGTGGTTTCTTCCTTCTGAAGTCCACCACCATCTCTTTGGTCTTGGAGGTGTTCAGCTGCAGATGGGTGGTCCTGCACCACCTCACGAAGTCCTCTACCAGGCTCCTGTACTCCTCCTCCTGTCCATCCTTGATACAGCCAACTATCACAGTATCGTCTGAGTATTTCTGCATGTGGCAGAACCCGGTGTTATACTGGAAGTCAGATGTGTACAAGGTGAAGAGGACAGGAAAGAGCACGGTCCCCTGTGGTGCTCCGGTGCTGCTGACCACAGTGTCTGACGTGTGGCCCTTCAGTCTGACGTACTGTGGTTTCTCTGTGAGGTAGTCCGTAATCCATGTCACCAAGCGTGGGTCCACCCTCATCTCTGTCAGCTTGTCTCTCAGCAGGAGCGGCCGGATGGTGTCGAAGGCGCTGGAGAAATCAAAAAACGCCATTCTCACAGCGCTGCTCACCTTGTCCAGATGTGAGAAAGGCCCTGTGGAGCAGATAGAGGATGGCATCCTCCACGCCCACCTTCTCCTGGTATCCAAAATGCAGTGGATCTTGTGCATGGTGAACCTGGGGTCTGAGGACATGTAGCAGCAGCCGTTCAAAGGTCTTCATGATGTGTGATGTCAGTGCTACTGGTCTGAAGTCACCAGGCTCCCTGGGGTGTTTTTTCTTTGGAACCGGGATGAGACATCTTCCAGAGCACCCTCCCCAGCTGCAGGCTCAGGTTGACGACATGCTGGAGTGGCTCCCCCAGTTCAGCAGAACAGGTTTTAAGCATCCTTGATCACACTCTGTCCGGGCCCGCTCCTTTCCTTGGACAGAGCCTCCTCAGCTTTCTGCTCACCTGATCCTTGATGATGGTGGTGGGGAGAGGTGTTGAACTGTCCATGTGTGTGGAGGGTGGGGGTGGTCTGCAGGTGGTAATGGACATGGGGGTGGCATTGGGGGAGGTGATGGACATGGGGGTGTGAAGTGGGCCATTGCTGATTGTGGGAGATGGAGTATCAAACCTGTTAAAAAAACAGTTTAGCTGGTTTGCTCTCCCAGCATCCCCCTCTCCTGCCATACTGCCCTTCTTCTTGCAGCCTGTGATGGTTTTCATGCCATCCCAGACCTCCCTCATGTTGTTGTGCTGCAGCTTCTTCTACGACAGACTTTTAAAGCATTTCATTTGTGTATGTGCGCGTGTGTGTCTGGAATGCCTGTCCAGATTAAAGTGACCTTCATTGATTGGTTAGTAAGCAGAGCTCACAGTCATCCATCACACACACACACACACACACACACACACACACACACACCCTTGGGTCACCATCTTTGTGGGGACCCGTCATTGACATAATGCATTCCCATATGCCTTAACCAAACCTGAACTCTAACCTGATTCTACTCCTAACCCTAAAACTAAGTCTTAACCCTTAAACAGCGCTTTCAACTTGTGAGATCTAGCTTTTTGGTTCCCACAAAGCTGCCCCAACAAGTATTATGGTGTTGGTCTCAATTATAGTACGATCAATTATCTGCAATATGACTTTGGAAACACCAGGGGGCAGCATTGATACACCACTCACAGGAAGAAGGAGTGGAAGATGAGAGTGGAGCAAAGGTGTAAGTAATTAGAAAAAGGAGGAAAGAGGAGGTGTGGAGTTGACCAGTGAAGAGAGAGAGAGAGTGGGCCAAGGAGGAGATGCAACGGTCAGAAAGAAGATAACAACAGAAACAGAAAAAGGGGAAGAGGAGGCAGAGTGACACAGCAGAACAACAGACAGTAAAAAGGTCTCTGTCACGAACAGTTTGGGTGTGTTTTATTGAGCATGCAGATAGGTGCATGCAGTGTGTGTGTGTGTGTGTGTGTGTGTGTTAGAGAGAGAGAAAAATAATAAATTATGAAACAGAGACTGTATGGTGTTTTGAGTATGAGTGTGAGAAGAGTAGAAGGTTTCTGTAGCGGAGATATAAATGCACCACAAATCTAACATAGAGTGTGAGCGGATGTGCTGAATTTCACTGTGATATATAAAACTAACAACTTATGAGGTAATTAAGCTGAGTTAATTAATATAATTAGAGCACCGCTGAGATATGTTCATGGCGTGCTCTTCTTCACACAATGTGTGAAAAAAAAGTAGTTTTAAGCATATAAGCCAACTATAGCTATTTTATCATTTTATAGTTAAAGCTGCATTAATTTGATTCTTCAGAATTTCACAACAAGCTATGAATTATAACCTTATAACGTTGTTATGGCAAACATGATAGCAAATAATTGCCTGTTTACACATCTCACAGATATGGAGCAACGTTAGCATGTTAACGGCTAGCTTCTTGGCGAATACGAGTCCAATAAAAACACTCTTTTTAGCTCCAATACCTCCTGAGGGAGATATCTCATTTGTATGTTACTAAAATGCTTTCCAAGTGAAAATTTTTCAATCCATTGTTCATATAAACATTTTGATTAGTGCAGCTTTAATTCTAAAAAGAGTGAAATGATGCAATTTACAGTGACAGGTATTAGTTTTCATTAAAATAAACAGGGTTTATTGTACACAATAATATGAAGACCTGTATAATCTAATGTGATTTCATAAAGAAGCTCTGCAGGAAATATTATCTTTGTGAAGGTTTTTTTTCTGAAAAGTCAGAGATGTCATTTGAACACTCACTTATAAATCTGTGTTGCGTCTTCTGGAGGTGTGCTAGCTTTGCTGAGGCTGTGTGGTAGTGGGTGGGTTTTGTTTTTGTGCCGATATCAGATTTGTTGTTGTGGGAAAAAAAACAACAACTTTAAAATACTGTGGTTATTTCTGTTTGTGGTGGTGTACTGAATTCATGTTGTGTTAATAGTAAACACCCAACAGTGCATCTAAAATTCTACACAGATACAAGAATATTTAGTCCAACAGTGAGGTGAGAAGACAAGTGAAGAAGTGAAAATACATTCAATAAAATCCATCATCAAATATTTATTCAACCTGTGGAAAAGACACGAAAGCAAACATGACTTTTATGACTTCGGAGATTTTAAAGCTTTCGCTGCTCATATTGTGAGTGTGACTGTGTGTGAGCGAGTACGACAAACAGAGAGTAAGAAAATGAAGTAAGAAAAATGGGCAAAACCAAGAAAGAGAGAAAACCAGAAACAATGGCAAACGAGACAGTGGGAGAATTCATATTGACAATTTATACTGCAAACCCCTTTATACAACAGTATCAGCAGTATCAATAAGTATCAACAATTAGGCACAAAAAATTTTACACACTGACCCTAAAACCAATGATAAAAGTCAAAAACAAAAAGTTTAGAAGCATAAAACTAAACCTCTATCATCAAAACATCCACCAAAGCCAATTTTCCACTCAGTATCTCAAAAGAACCACCGTTAAGTGGATCCACATGTGCTATGTGTCTGTTTATATCTATTGTGCCATGTTTTTCTACGTGCAGCTTGTACATAGATCACCGGCAGCCTTTCAGGGCCAAGCCCTCCCCGCCCCACAGTTCACCTTAACGCTTTCATCAGTGAGAGAAAGCGTAAAGTGACCGAACAGTGTTGAATTTCAGTTGATGGAACTTCAAAGTCAAGATCTGCCTTCAGCTTCGCTAGTTATATAACACACATTTCAGTAAAGGATTTATAATTTGACTGCAGGGCCGCAGCAGGATTGGGGTCAGGGTAGCAGCACACACCAAACATTGAAAACACAACCCTGCAGGACACACACACACACACACACACACACACACACACACACACACACACACGGTGA